TAACTTAGTGATTGTAGCCTATATGTAATGTGGAAAGCGGGACCTCTTGTCGGGAATTTTTGATTTTGAGTTATATGCTATATTTGCATTCCTTATCTAGGGTTACGATTTATTTTGTTAAAGTTATAGGACTTCAAAATTTTGTTATGGAAAAAAGTCATTTCATGAGAAAAACTAGGCCTAGGCCTATTGTGAAAATTTCAAATGTGCATGAAAAGTTTTTTTTATTTATAAAAAACATATTTGGTATTAAAAAAAACTGATAATTTCCTCTTTAGAGGCAATACAAATTTTTGTCTTAACTCATTGTAACTTAGTTTTCATTTAAATAGCCTAAGTTAGGCTATTTGTTTTATCGAAGCATGTCGTAAAACTCGCACTTCAGAAAAGGGACCTCTTTTCGGCCATATGCTATTTCTCCATAAGATAAGAAAAGATACCGTAACTGTCGGGACCGCAAAATTTATGAGATATTTTGTTTGTTCTCCTTAAACTGAATTTGTTGTAGGCCATTTCTCTGTAGAATGCAGGACAATCCATTTTTTGAACTTAAGTCTGTTTATAAATTAGAAATTAGAATGCTAATAATGCCTATTAGAAATTTGAGACCGCTTGTTGTTATGGCGAAATAACATTGAGTGACAAGAGGTCCCTATTCTCAGACCATGCAGAGGCTAGAAAAATTATTTATTTTGACATTTTGACCTATTACATCTTCAATTTGATAATTTAACCGATACCGTAACTTACTGTCCTGTTACATGTTAAGTGAGGTACAATAACAATTGGTAAAAAAAAACAAATACTTATTCAATATTTTTGACCTTACATTAAGTAAATCGGCCGTACTGAAAATGTTGCATCGCCGACAAGAGGCCCCTTTTCAATTTTCACATCACATATGTTAGGCTATATTGACAATTAGCCTAAGTTTAGGCTACCTATATATTTTGACGATGCCCATTGCATTTGTACTGTACAGTGCTTAAAGGAAAATAAAATCTCATTTCATATAGCCTACAGTAGGCCTAGACTCCCTCTTAAGCGGACACCTTTTAACAGGACATCGGTTTAACCGGACTACACTAGGTAGAAGTGACATCTCTTTATCCGCACATCGGTTAACCGGACTGGATGGACAGGAAGTGGGCGGTACTGGAATAACTGTACTCGTGGGAAAGATTTGAGACCAGTGATTATGTGTCTAAATACAATGCTCTCTTAATTTTAAGTCAAATACCCTAGCCTACTGTATAGAGTATGCATTTAAACGGTCTGTTTTAACGAGATTTTGAGGATGTCGGTTTAACCAGAATAACCGTTATCAGGAGGCCGAGGGAATCTAAGTTACTGTACTTGTACTAGTAAGAACCTGTTGAGTTTTTCTGATCTAGATGTCCTAAGTCTCTAAGTTAAGTTTCTTTGTTAATTATTTCAAAGAAGCCAGTCCATGAAATCAGTTCTAAGCCTAAGTTAAGCCCTATTTGCACCACTTCAATTTTAAAATCTTTGATCCCACAAAATAATTGACGGACAACTGGACGAATCCCTTGGTATAAAATTAATAGACTAGGACAACATCCTCTTAAGATAAAAAAGAGAAACTAGGCCTACTTACAAAATTCCACCAGCAGAAACTCATTCTCCGAAAGGGCCTGTTGGAAATTAGCTTTAGTCAGAACTAGAACTCCTTCATCTTCTGTTATTTCTGCATAAATGTTTCCAATTAAACATAAAACAACAAGAGTAACAACCCTTAACACCATGATGATGAGATGAAGCGAACAGTTAACTACCAACGAAACGACCGCCGGCAAAAAACTCTGACGCCGAAATGGGAAGAGAAGAGATGAGTGTAGCGCTGTGCTTGTCTGACAGAACGTGGCAACGACAACCACAACGTCAACTCGTGTTGAATGCTGATTGGGTTGCTATCGTAGGCCAAAGTCAAACGCGGCACTATGGGTTGCAGTGCATTAAATGGTGAATTTTTCCTGGCAAAAAAATCTAACTATGATAATTTTTATGATTTGGACTGACTTATACGTTCGATAAGTTTTTACTATATATTAAGATAATTTTTAATAGTGAGCACCTCTCTAACAGACATACTTATGACTTGAGTATTAAACAATGAATGTACACTCGTACAGTAACAAAACAACAAGCACGGCTGCCTTGATTTCTGGTCTTAATTTTCGTTGGCGCGTATTACCATAGATTAAATATACTCACTTAAACCACAGAAAACGTACTACTATTAAACTAAACTCGTCGACTTAAAAAAAAAATGTTCAAGTAGACCATAAAACTCTCATATCTTACAATTAATTGTCATTATCGACGTTTATTGTTTTACCATTATTATAATTTATCATACAGAATTAATTCCACGTACGTTATTATAATTTATCATACAGATAAATTTCTTATCGTCTTATTTTAATATATAACAAGAGGTTCTACCCGCTAATTCACGGGTGTACAGAAGCATATCTTTTTGTCTATGACAGAAGCCACCATTAAATTAATTTAATCAACTTCGATTTGATATTTTATTTAAAGGGCCCAAGTTCGAGAAATTGTCATCTGAAAGGATGTTAAAAGCAGTGGAACCTTCATACCTTACGTCCTAAGGTGGCCGAGGTGGGTACGGCTGTACCTGAACTCGCCACTCTCTTTCACGACGTCTTTAATACTTTAATACAATACTTTTCAATGAAATGGTGACTGTTAAAGATCGGTGACAACCTCTTGGAACGAACAACATACATGGTTTGTTAATCTCATATTCATTGTGTTTAGAACACTTTTAATCACTCACTTGTAACAAACAGCTAGAAAAAGCTTCACTGTCCATTCACCGCACCTCTTTTAAGAACATGAAAGTAAATAATAAAATAAGTAAACAAAAATGTAAACAAACAAACTATATTGTCAATTGCATTGACCAGCTGTTGTTTACTAAATTAATCGAATAATGTTAACTTCCAAAACATGCAAGGCGTAGCCCTTTGGAAATCAGCCTGTGGGGGCAGGCTCAAGGAGTTCGTCCATGTCAATACTTTTCGGCAAATCTACACACTCTAAGCTTCATTTTGATATGCCATATGCCTATATTTTTATTTGTTAAATGGCCTTAACCGTTAACATAAAATTTGATTGTATCACTTTAATAATATAATAGATATTTTGTTTGCATACGTTGAGTTTAAATTGCGTGCATACGTTTTGTGTGTTAAGTTGTTTTATTTGAGTTGTTGTTGGCTCAGTCGGTAGCGTCACGGACTTCGGGCCCAAGGCAGCGATGTCGTGGGTTCGGATCATGGTCACTGGTGCCACTAACATTTATCAGTACATTTCACCTTCGTACTGCACCGGCTCACTCCTTGCTTTGCTGTAAACGTTCCAGTTCCACGTACGAGCGTTAGTCTATGTGGTCGGGCAAATGCAAGGTTAAAAGAGGCCGCCAACCTCTTAAAAAAAGTATTAGTTTATTTGACTTTTTCCATGTGTCATGTTCACGGAAATAAAGCATTTCATTTCATTTAAGTGATAATTGATAATTGTGTGCCATTATTACTTATTTTGCATGCTGTATGTCCTAAAACCTTTTACTTGTTTACTTTTAGTCGATTGAATCTGACTTGTGCTTCCACCAATGTTAAGGGGATTGTTATCATCTTTGTTGTTATAAAACTGTTGCGTAAAAAGCCTACAATAAGAGTGCGATAAAAAGTACTAATTTAAGCAATAAAGAAAAGCATTTTGGTGTTAAATCAGTCACGAATTTACCATATTTTTAAGGATAATTTGTAAAAGATACATCCTAAATACAAATATCATAATATAAATAACGTTTAAATAAATAACCATGGAAATTTCCATTTAGAGTAAAAAAGTAATATTTGTACATGTTATCACGACTAACATAATATTATTAAAGAGCTCTGTTGTATTGATGTTAGGGATACCACTTGAATGCCAATTCACCATTGAATGTTTCCTCGCTGTCCTTACTTTTCTATGGTTACCAGTACCTTTATTTTAGGGATATTTTGTGCTATACTTTTCGGTTTTAAAACCAGAGGACGAGCGATTGCATCGTTTTATTTGGCTAAACCCAGTGGTGGCGATTGGGCTTGAGTGGTGGGGGGGGGCGAAATCTAGATTTATTGTTGATATAATTCTATTTTATAAATTTGATAAATATTCCTTATGAATATCCCCCCCCCTAAACGCCGCAGATAAAACATACTCCTCTTGAGGAGTATGTTTTATCTATTTCTAAACCTACTATTGAAAAGCAGAAAAATGCTTCTAGAGGCATTGGTTGACCCCATAGTTTAAGCAAATTACTGGTTAATCTATGAAGAAATTAACATTATTTAATTGTCTTTAATTAATTGTGATTGATAAGGATTACCAATCTATACTGAGAGAGTATGTTTAATCTTTTCTTTGTTTGAAGTTCATTGTTGGTGATGGTGAGTTAGTTTAATCTTTTTGTTTAATCTTTTGTCACAATCATGATAGGACATGAATTTGATTGCTACTGAAAGAAAGATAATACCCACCACAATGATTTATTTGTGGCATGACTTGTGGTGCTATTTAATCAATGATTCTACTATGAAACTATCATTAGCGTTCATCACTCCACTCCACAATAGTCTGCTAAGAAATCAGTAGGAAAAAAGATTGTAAGCAGTAGCAGACGCCATTGCCATCCATCATATGTTCGTTAATGTCAAACAATAAACAATCCAATTATGCTTGTTATGATTTAAAAAAGGATAATTCAGCAGGTCAGAACAATTGAATTTTTAATATAACATTATTTAGTTATCTTAATGCAATGTCAACTTAGTTTTACATTTTTTAGTTCAGAAATCACCCCGACCTGGAATACTTAAGTTGATCAATTATATTCTAACCTTGTAACCATTACCGGTATCCACAAACTTACAGGTTGATTTGATGTTTTGCCACAATCATGATATTTTGGCATACTTTTTGGAAATATGCCAAAACTCCACCTGTTCAGTGACAATTTACTCAATTCTATTCCTGTCATTGCCATTGCTTTGCTGTTTAGTCTTAGAACCAGGCATTTGTAGGCCTAGGTAAGTTAAAAAACACACTTGGCTAAACCCAATGTCTTTATAACTTAGGCCTAGCAACCATTTCTAACTCTGTAAATTACCTTAGTCAACCAACTCTTATTTTGTGTATAATTTTATGTCATTGCATTTGTTACATTGATTACCAGATTAGATTGACATACCAATTCGGCTTACTATTTCTCAGGTCAGGCACTAAGTACCTAATCGTCAGGTGTCTGACCCTTTGATACAGTACCTTTTCTCAGTTCTTTATTGTCAATACCTGAGATTGTAACTTTGCACTCTCATTTACTTGTATCCAGCCAAAATTTGTAGTTATTTATTATAAATTGTTATTACGTTCAAATCTATATAACTTATACTCCTGTTATTGTAATATTTAGGCATAGCTTAAGTTAAAGCATATTTGTTTTTGTATAAGTTACAGCGCTTTTGTGATGTATCAGAAACAAACATGTCTATAGCCAATAGGCCTAACTTATCCATGTATTTTTTGTAAAATAGTTTATCAGATGAGAGAGAAATAAATAAATATTAGGTGTAAATCATAGGTTTAATTTAATAGAATGGTTTTAAACCCTTCCTGGGAGGGAAGAGGATGTCTGCTTTATTTTTTTTTGCCTTGAAGTGAGGGTTCTTATCTGCACAATTTTTGTGGATGTTGTGGACAGAAAGTAGGTAAGTTTATTTTCACCAATAATGTAGACTAGGAGTCGTCCAGTGGTCGAAAACTCGACCGAGATATGTAATGTACAGACCATTTTTGGAACAGCTGTCCCCAATTTTTATTAAAAAAGAACATAGTTGAGCCAGTCACAGAATGTGCTAGGGTCTATAATTTTATTTTCTTTTCAACCTTAATTATTGTTGCTGACCAAGTTGATCTGGAACAAAAGATCATTCCACAAAAGGCAGGCTTTCGATCAGGCAAGTCTTGTTTTGTGTAGTTGTGTAGTTTTAAACCTGACCCAGCACATTGAGGATGGGTTTGAGAGAAAACAGATCACGAGTGTCGCTTTTGTAGATTTAACAGCTGCCTACGATACCGTAAACCATCGAAGACTCTTGGGAAAAGTGTACAGTATTACCAAAGACTATCAGCTGACTTCAATGATAGGCACTTTTCTTTATAACAGGCGGTTTTTTGTGTCCCTTCAAGGCAAGAAAAGTAGATGGAGGAATCAAAGAAATGGATTGCCTCAGGGTAGCGTCTTAGCCCCAGCTCTTTATGACATTTACACTAACGACCAACCGTTGCCAAACGCTACAAGTCAGTATATATATGCCGATGATACGGCGGTGGCAGCATAAGGTAGGTTTGAAGAGGTAGAACAGAAGCTGACTATGACTCTAAATGAACTTTCACAGTACTATGACGCAAATCACCTCAAGCCGAACCCTGCTAAGACCCAAGTTTGTGCTTTTCACCTAAACAATAGAGAAGCAGGCCGTGAGTTGAATGTGAGGTGGCGGGGAGACCGTCTTCAGCATTGTCCTACACCCAAATATCTTGGTGTCATACTGGACCGCACACTGACATTTAAGGTGCATTGTATTGCGACAAGAGGTAAAGTCTCAGCGAAGAATAATATCATCAGGAAGCTCACCAGCAGGTGCTGGGGTGCTAACCCTAATGTCCTCAGAACCTCAGCTTTAGCGCTCAGTGTGTCGGCTGCGGAGTAAGCTGCACCAGTACGGAATGCATTGTCACATGCAAAAAAGGTTGACATTGCAGTCAATGACATGGCTCGGATTGTAACTGGGTGTTTGAAATCAACCCCAGTACACAAACTCTATCCTATCATAGGGATCGCCCCTCCATCAATCCGACGTGATGTCGCTGCCGACGCAGAAAGGACTAAGCAAGAGACAGACCCTCGTCACCCATTACACGGCCACCAACCTGCAGAGCGACGGCTTCGGTCCAGAAAGAGCTTTTTATCACGGACACGAGTCCTGGATGGATCACTCTCAAGCAATCGGGTGGCAAGGTGGGAGGCCACGTTGACTAACCCTCCCATACCAGCCAGGGAGGAACTGGCTCCTGGTGGAGGCCTTCATTACACGGTGTAGAAGTCCCTAAATCGAATTAGGGTCAAGGTACCAAAATGCAAGACAAACATGCAGAAATGGGGTCTCTTACCAGACGAAGAAAACATCTTGTGCACGTGTGGTGCTGTTCAGGATCCTGGCCATCTGCTAATCTGCCCACGCCTAGACCAGTCTTGCACATTAGATGATCTTTTACATGCGAATGACAAAGCCATATCGGTAGCTAATTTTTGGAAAGCAAAGCCTGATTTCCGGACACGGAAAGTAAGTAAGTACGTACCAAGTTCATGGGTCATTATCACAACCGTGTTACCTTTTTAGTTACCATTCACAGGTGCGCTATTTCAAGCTTAAAAATGTCACCCTAATTGTTAAAATCAGCTCACTACGGTGGCTCGAAAAGAGATGTACCAGTAACAGAGAAAACCCTTAATGTATCAAGTAAAGGTTTCAGTCAGACCTTCGTTGTGTCAGTAGGCCTAAATTTAAGTTGCATTTCTAGATGCTTTTGAATTCACAGGGTGGTAAGTGGTCTGTAGATATAGGCATATTTTAACCATTTAATATTGTTTTTTTTTTTTTTAGATTCTTATGACATTATTTTAGTTATAGTGTTTAAGTAGTTGTATGTTTGTTTATACAGTTTTTTCTCCTCAGGTCTGAAACACTCCTGTGTATGGAACAAATTTCTATCAACAGCGTGAAGCTATTTTATCATAAAATCAGATTTTGAGATGGCTTCTGAAGAACTGACAGTAACCTCTGAGATATATTCTGAATTGGAAGGATGTCTTTTAAGAGGTGTTTCGGAAGAAAGTGAGTAGCATATCCTACTGAAATTTGACTTTGTAATGAAAATACTCAAGTTTTTTTAGTAAAAAAGTGGGGTTGTTGAACCTCATAGGCTCAAGTTTTATGAAAAAAACCGTCCAATGCAGGCCAAAGATTTTTTAAATTTATCCCCAAAAATATAAAAAAAGAAACAGATTTTAAAAAGTTAAAAAAATTACTCAAAGATTATATATTAAATTTAGCTATTTATTCTATGGAAGAGTTCTCCACCTCCCTGGCATAGGTAGCATTAAGTTATTTTAATTTTGTATTTCATTCTTAACTTACTAAAGACTTGTTGTTATTATTTTACTTGTTAATATTTACTAATATCATTGTAATTGTATTTCTTTTTATTGACGCTATTCATTGTACCACCTTTGTACAAAAAATATGAATAAAGAATATGAATATGAATGTCAAAGATTAATATCATAAGAAATGTTTTTTTTTTTAATTAACTGTATAACCAATCGATTGCAGATATGGTTTCTTATTTCAAATTCAATTATCCTTTGAACAAGAAGGAAGACACAAATGAAATAGAAGTTGATGAGGATGGAGACATGGTGGTGCAACGTAGAAAAGATGATAATGAAAAGGTTTTAAAAATAGGTACGTACTTTTGGAACTATGAAAATAAATAACTTATAGTTGTTAAGATGTGCATTATTTTGGCGGGAGAAGCCAATCAACAATTGATTTGGTGGAGGTTTAATTAAACTGGAATTTGGTGGTAACGGGACGAGTGGATTTATTGTGTTTTGCACCTTAAATTAAACAGTTTGCAAATTTTTACCCATTCTGAGCATGTCAGACTGTCCACCAAGATTGTTTTTTTTTTCATTACATGATAAAACAGAAACAAAATAGCATGATTAAATCAATGAATAATCCTCCATAGATCTAAAATTTTAGTAGGAGCCCACGCGGGGACCAATCAGAGATGAGTATTTCAACCATGTGCCATAAGCCCTGCCCCCTCTGGTAAATCAGTATAGAGGTTGGAAAAAAATTACTATAGGATGGGCCGGGAATTGAACTCGAGTCTAGTGTGTTGATCAGATGCGTTAGCCATTGGGTTACGATGCTAGTTATAAGTCTAAGTTGGTACATATATTTATACTCTTTGTATCATAAAATAAATTTGTAATTGTGTTGTTAGCTGCTAGCTGTGTACAAGGTCAGGATAGCGGTTAGCGTCAGGTGATTAGATTAACACGTTCACTGCGGCATACATCAAGCAGGTGCTCGCCAATAGCAGAGAGGCGCAGGGGCGAAGCCCTACTGAATCAGCAAACAATTGGCATTCAAATATTTCAGTCTGACGAATCACAAAAGAGCAGTGGTGTTTGTGCTGTGTTACCCCGAGAGTGGACATAGTTCACTGAAACACCAAAGGGTAGCAGCACTGACTGGATCCGTAGCCAGTTTCCTCGTAATGTGGCTCGAAGAGAGAAAATCCCCAAAACAGGGGCAAAAGCATTGCCAGACGGAATTTTTTGGGAAATTTTAGTACCAACCTATATCAAAATAAAGCTCGCATTCTAAGCTATAGACTGCCAACGATTATAACGTTCTGCGTCAATGGCTGAGCTCAAACTGACTGTTCAATGTTAAATCCTGGGAACGGCCGATCACGACTGCACAGCACCTGGCAGGCAGCCGGCACCGGCCGATTTCGACTGCTCAGCAGCAAACTTGTTAAAGAGAACTGTAAAGGTAACAATAGCTTAATGAGAAAAGATAACTTACGATATATAACTATTCTGCGTCATGACTAGGAAGGTGGGTAAGAGATTAAGGTCTCGCAATAATAACTGGGGACCGGGCTGCCCGCGTTAATGAATGGTAAATCTAACTGCGCACTATGACGAGTTTACTCATAAAATTAGGCGCAATTTGTGTTTTTTTCTTAAAGATTTAAACTCTTTGTGTTATTTCATGAAAATGTAGTCAAAACACAAAAGGGTTGTTTAAATTAATAACATTAATATTGCCTTATGGTGCTATGGCTTAAAAAACTATACTTATATACTGAAAATAATTTACTTTCACTGTTGGTAAACCTTGTAACTATTTAATGCTATTGAACATTATAGAACCAACTTATTGGTTTTTTAAACAGCAGTAAATAATATTCCTTGATTCTTTTTAAATATGAGTACTTATAAGGTTAACATTGAACCCCTTAAAACCTTCTGGGGCGGAGCCCTTTTGATAGATCTGCACCAAACTTATAATTTACTTCTTTTATAGAATTATGGTGATTAAAAACAACTGTGTTTACCCAGAAAGAAATAAATTTGTAATCTTTTTAATTTTAAACTCCCTACAAAATGGACATCTGTATAATCTATACACAATCAGGGCAGAGGATGTGGACACAAGGTCCCAGAGCGATCGAAGGGGCAAAATTCCAGCATACTTCACAAGCTACTGTTTGGATCGGAGGTCCTGAAGGTCGTGAAACCCTGTTTGTCATTAGGCTATCTATGCGTTCTGCAGTCTGTCCATGTACATCCTCCAGAGTATTGCGAAGCTCCCCCCACAGAGCTGATGCCATTGATGCTTGATCCCCATTGGTGAATCTGCGTAGCATGTCACCATTCACCTGAGCAATATTGAGAAGTTGCCCCTGTAGTGTAGATATTCTTGTTCTTGCTGAAGCCGGTAGGGCAAAAGAAGGCTCGTACATAGCCTGAAAAAGTACAGACCGGGATTAATGCTATATTCTGTAATTATCACAATTATAGTATTGTTTTTTTAATTTACGTGAAGTTATACTTACTCTATGTATTAGTCTCCTTCGGAAAACTTAAATCTGATCCTCTTGGCGACACCTTCTGCACTGAGGTTCCTCTAGCATTGTTTCATTTCATGTACGGCTCTGAAAATATAAATAAGTAGAATTAGAAGCAGATTTGTAGAATTATTATATCAATTTATTTTCCACATATTTTGTAATGCTAATGGTGGCCATACACGTACAGACAGACCTGTCAGTTTTGTCTGAACAGTCCCAGGAGACCGGACGGCCTGTTGGACTGAGCTCACCATACGCGATCAGTTGAACAGAAGGCCATTGTGTATGTTCCAAATATTTATGTCCCTTTATAATTAATGTTTTTAAAACTTTGCATTTACACCAAAACAATTCTAAAGTCATCCAGCAACAAACGTGCAAATGACATCCTAGGATTACTCATTGTGTTAAGAACGGAAATAAGGCGAAAATCTCTTTAAGTTTTGATCTAAAAGATTGTTGATGAAGAGGAATACTACTCTTTGATAATTAATAATAAAGAGAGGGTATTCACAAATTAGCTATTTCATGTTTTTTGCTTTAAATCTTACAAGTATTTATTCTCTCAACATATTTATAAATTACTAGCTGTAACCCGCGGGCTTTGCCCCGTTTAACTTCTTAATTTTCAAGATTATCTCGTTCGCATGGCTCAATCACGTCCTGGTTGAAGTTTGCAGAATATGACCCACACATTACCGAGAGAGTCATGACCTACACATTACCGGCGCCGCGTCGCGTGTTCGCGATACTTGGCCAAGTGGTTGTATTATGTATTTTTGTGTGAACTTCGTGTACTTTATGTGTTTTTTGACGTGCTCAACCGCGGGCGAAATGATTTGATTTTGTGTTTCTTCACTTTGAAGATGTGCTCATTGTAGCACGAAACAGCTGTCGTGTTTGACAACTACATAGGATCATTCAGGCAAGGTAACATAAACCATATTCTGCTAATTTTAATGATCCAGAGGCTATCCATCATGAAAGTGGTTGAAGTTTGTTCGCTACGCTCACTCACCTTTAGGTTGGAGCTCGTTCGCTACGCTCACTCACCTTTAGGTTGGAGCTCGTTCGCTACGCTCACTCACCTTTGGGTTGGAGCTCGTTCGCTGCGCTCACTTGCCTTCAGGTTAGCTTGTTCGCTACGCTAACTCGCCTCCAGGTTGAAGTTCGTTCGCTACGCTCACTCACCTTTTGGTTGCAAATTAGCTGTTGTCATAAATGTAAAAGAAATAATAGTGCTGCACCCTGTTGGTAATCCTTGTAACTTTAATGCTATTGAACATCATAGAACAGAACCAACTTGTTTAATTGAAACAGCTGTTAAGATTCAATAATTCCATTTCTCATAAGGTTAACATGGGAAACTCCAGAGCCACTGGGGCGGAGCCCGGAAGGATTTTTGAAATAAGAATATGCCTATATGTTAATCGGGAATGTGAGCTACCATCATGCCAAATTTCAGCCCAATCCGACCAGTATTTTTCGAGTTTACTTTTCCCATACACACATACACACATACAGCAACCACCTCTTTTTTATAATAGTATAGATAGATTATCTACTTTTTAATGTGTTTAAAAATGTGTTATTTAAAAAAAAGTTTTTTATTAATAAATTATTTTCTTCTTTTTAGTTTTCAATGTGTAAGTCATGTTAAATGTATTTTATATGGCCTGTTAAATACACAACCAAAACCTTTTTATCTAAAATCATATGTTTTATCTTTACTTTGAAAGGTTTGTTTATATTTAGAACTTCTCGGGAGTAGAACCTGTACCTCTCAACCTCTGCTCTACACTCATCTCCATTCATACTTGGTTTAAAATATCTAATATGTATGGTCGCCATTTCATTGAACAGTATTAACAGTATTTGAACAAACTTTCAAATTATAGTAGTTAACGCAACCATTGCGTAAAGAGTGTTAATGACTATTACAGCTAACTTCAATTGACATAATTTGACTATTTACATTCTTCCAAAATGTAAACATTGAAACTTTGGAAGCCCATGGGGCGTAGCCCGAGGCAAATATGAAAATAAAACAATTTAATATTGCATTGTTATTCATTTGCGAGCTATGTTGTGTGATATGAGTTTCAAGTCTCTCAAGCCCCCGGGAAGTTAGTTTAAAATCAATTACAAAATTTGTAGCAGACAAGAAAGCGAGCTACCTAATAAAAACGTTTCAATAAAACTAGTAGCTGAGGTGCATATTTAAAAAGAATCAAAATAAATCTATATTTATAAAAGAGGAAGTTTGTATATATATATATATTTGAACGTTATGGACTCCGAAACCGCTCGACAGATTTTAATGAAACTTTCTGGCATTATTAAGCATTATTCGAGGATGGTTTGTGTGAAGTTTGGTGCAGATCCGTCAAAAAGGCTCTGCCCCAGTGGCTCTGGAGTTTCCCATGTTAACCTTATAAGTACTCATATTTAAATGGAATTAAAGAATCTTAACAGCTGGTTCAACTAAACAATTTGATTCTGTGATGTTCAATAGCATTACATCACAAAAAAAAAAAAAAAATAAAGTTAATAGGTTTACCTACAGGGTGCAGCAGAGAATTTATATTAGAGAATATCCCATATAGGGAATAAGCTATTTAAAAAAAATTATTACAACAGCTAATTTGCAACCAAAAGGTGAGTAAGCGTAGCAAACAAACTTCAACCAGGACATGGTTGAGCGATGCGAACGAGGTCATCTTCAAAATGAACGAGCATTTGACATAAAACTGCATTAGGACAGCTGTTTAAAAACCAAAAAGTTGGTTCTACGATGTCCAATAGCATTAAATATTAACGAAGGTATACCAACAGGTTGCAGCACTAATTGTTTGAATTTATGACAACAGTTCATTAAGCAGCAACAAAAAGCTATGGTACAAAATGAGAATTTTCAAAGTAGGATTGTTTTAAATTTAATAAATAGTTTTTGATACTGTACGAATAATGAATTTTTTTAAAGTGCCTAATTCATTAATTTTCTTTTTTTTCCAAAATGTGTATAAAAATATTGCCTGAGAAACGGAGTAGCCAATTAATAATTTTAGTGGATTACTAAAAGTGTATATATACAGCATAACATAATAAACATACATATCACTAAAGGCTAAGCTATGTTACTCACATGCACCATCTTTGATCGCGGGGAGCAAAGTGAGCAATCAATATTGTCACTAGCCACTACTGTAGTTAGATATGGTTATTAAACTGTTCTTGTGTATCACAACAGTATTGTTATCATGCTTGGTTTCCTCACTGTGGTCATGTCATTACCCTGACAGGATGTGTATCCACTCACTATCTCTAACCGCTATCACTTGCGGCCGCACGTTACGTACAGCAAGCAGCTAATAACACATTTACAAATTTATATACAGAGTGATCAACTCAAGGAGGCCACCATTGGGATATCAGAAACAGTAAGAATTAGAGAAAACTTACTAACTTAGAGAATGTTGTTAAAGCCGAAACAAGTCTTATCTCATTTTCTGTCTGTCTGTCTGTCATGGCCCAGAAGGCATTTTACCCGGCCCTCTCCTGAAAAACGAGAGCATTGATTGGGATTAAAATAGTCTTTTTAAATTCACTGGATTAGCGAGAGTGTCTTTAGCCATTAAAATATGACGTCACTACTTTTGAAATAAAATAACCCAACGTTTAAAAACCCAATTTTGTGCGATTTTTGTCAAGTTTTCTCCCAATATTTACCACATACTCATTTATGAAATACTAATCATCTGTTTGGAGAACACAACATCTATGAAATAACTAACAGCTGTTTGGATAAAGATTATTATTTCTAGCTGTCACTGGATATGTTTACATTAAATTTTCTTTACAAATACTGCAGCCATTTCCAATTACGTTTTGTAAGAAGATAAAAAACCAAGTGAGATTAAAAATGTTGTGCCTTACATAACAAAATTTTTTTTAGTTTAACACGTTTGCTACTGCAAGAGTACAAATTTTTTCATTCATATGGACCAGCGACTCACATATGTGGCGGCTGGTTTCTACCCATAGACTGCCTAGTCACATTAAAATAGACCAACGTCACATATTTGTGTCAGTGTTCCAATGTTATCTTTGTAAGGGTCTATTTAAAGGCAGTGAATTCTCTGCAGTGGACTACAGGGATATCTCACGCACTACTGCGTCGCTTGGTCTGTGGATATGTGACGTAATATGATAGTTCGAAAACTGTTCTTTCCCAAGGGTCTATTTAAAGGCAGTGAATTCTCTGCAGTGGACTACAGGGATATCTGACGCACTACTGTGTCGCTTGGTCTGTGGATATGTGACATAATATTATAGTTCGAAAACTGTTCTTTACTTTTCTGCATCTCTGTATGTATGTTTGCTGCATTATCCCATGTAGCTTCTATATTTGTTCAATTATAACCTGTTCTTGAAAAATCTGTTTTTTACACTTACTTTCACCTAAAAAACATTAACAAAAATGAACTCTTGCATATATTTGGCGCTTGAGCTATTTTAAGAAAAATATAATAATTTTCACTATTGTCTTTGCTATAGACCGGGTGTCGCAAATATGCGACATTACAAAAGGTTATCAAAAATGCTAAGCATTTGTTTTGGCTTGAAACTGTCAGATATTGTATTTGCGAGGGTTTATGTGTATTCCTGCCTACATATCTGGAAATATGCAAACCAACTGCTGTTCTGATTATAAGGTTCGAACTGACTACAAGATCCCCGTCCGTAGAACGGGTACACAGCTAGCTATTTAGTATTTATATATTTATTTATTTATATTGTACATTATGAACTCGTTTGGACCATCTGCTTGTATTCCCGCAGAGCACAGCACAGCTACGCCTATCCGTCTGGTAGGTCTGCAGGTGTGGAGGGGTGCATTGTTACTGGCCGACTACGTGTTACATCACGCTCAGGCTCTGCAGCACTCCACGGTGTTAGAACTAGGATCTGGTGTAGGCCTCACTAGTATTGTTACCAGTATAGTGGCTAAACATATCGTCTGCACAGGTAAAACTTAGACCTATTCTTTTTTCATTAGTGTAATAGATGAGTGAACGAAGTAAACGAATCTATGTATCGTGTATAGCGGAGTCGGAGAAAAGTTGTCCGCTGGAGTATGTCTGTGTGTGTGTTCGCACCTAAAACTCAAGAACTGTTGCACTTATAGCGTTCAAATTTTGCACAAATAGTTATCACACCAGTGTAAAGACACCATTAAAATTCTAGACGATTCCGCTCAGTAGTAATTATAAAATACTTAAAAAAAATTTTTAAATTTGTCCCATAAGAATAACATTAGGAGCTACCTTCTTCTTCTTTTTATTTGTTTACGTTTTGCGTCCAACAATTTTGTTGTCTACTTAAGACAGAGAGAACGACTTTTACTCTAAGCTCTTTCATTCATGGAGTAAACAGTTTGGCGTCTATGAATATATATCATTATAATTTCACAGCTTTCAGAATAATGTTATTTAAGCTAATTAAATCTCACAACTTTCATAATAATAAATTGAACTTAACAATATTAGTCGGCAGTTATATACCGTTTATGTTCAGTATTAAAATTTCGCCTTTTAATTAAAAGTATATATGTATGTATGTATTTAGAACAAAGCAGCTTTTTACATTATTCAATTTAATGTTGGCATTGAATTTTAAATATTCAAAAATGTTGGTATATTTTTATACTAAAATGCTATGCGAAGGGGGGGGGAACAGGTCCCCGACGTAGAGAGTAGTAAAGAAAGCGGAAAGGTGAGCAGTGAAAAGAAAGGAGTACGGAAACCCTTTATGACTGTTAAATTAACGTATCTGTAATACTTAAATGCTATGGAAAGATAGGGAAACAGGTCTACGATGTAGGAAGTAGTGAAGGAAATAGTGAAGGAAGTAGTCAAGGCGAGCGCTGCGGAGTGTGGGGGACCTTTATGACAGTTAGAATAATGTATCTGCAATTCTAAAAATGCTATGGGAAGGGAGAGAAACAGGTCCACGATGTAGGAAGTGGTGAAGGAAGTAGTCAAAGTGAGCAGTCCGGAGTGTGGGAAGCCTTTGTGACAATTAGAATAATGTATCTGCAATTCTAAAAATGCTATGGGAAGGGAGGGAAACAGGTTCATGACACTTAGGAAGTGGTGAAGGAAGTAGTCAAGGCGAGCATTCCGGAGTGTGAGAACCCTTTGTGGCAGTTAGATTAAGGTATCTACCATAATAAAATGCTATAGGAAGGGAGGGAAACAGGTCCACGACGTAAGAAGCGGTAAAGGAAGTAGTCAAGGCGAGCAGTCCGGAGTGTAGAAACCCTTTGTGGCAGTTAGATTAATATACCTGCAATACTAAAATGCTATAGGAAGGGAGGGAAACAGGTCCACGACGTAGGAAGTGGTAATGGAAGTAGTCGAGGCGAGCATTCTGGAGTGTAGAAACCCTTTGTGGCAGTTAGATTAGTGTAACTGCAATTCTAAAATGCTATGGGAAGGGAGGGAAACAGGTCCATGACGTAGGAAGCGGTGATGGAAGTAGTCTAGGCGAGCAGTCCGGAGTGTAGAAACCCTTTGTGACAGTTAGATTAATATACCTGCAATACTAAAATGCTACAGGAAGGGAGGGAAACAGGTCCACGACGTAAGAAGCGGTAAAGGAAGTAGTCAAGGCGAGCAGTCCGGAGTGTAGAAACCCTTTGTGGCAGTTAGATTAATATACCTGCAATACTAAAATGCTATAGGAAGGGAGGGAAACAGGTCCACGACGTAGGAAGTGGTAATGGAAGTAGTCGAGGCGAGCATTCTGGAGTGTAGAAACCCTTTGTGGCAGTTAGATTAGTGTAACTGCAATTCTAAAATGCTATGGGAAGGGAGGGAAACAGGTCCATGACGTAGGAAGCGGTGATGGAAGTAGTCTAGGCGAGCAGTCCGGAGTGTAGAAACCCTTTGTGACAGTTAGATTAATATACCTGCAATACTAAAATGCTATAGGAAGGGAGGGAAACAGGTCCACGACGTTGGAAGTGGTAATGGAAGTAGTCGAGGTGAGCATTCTGGAGTGTAGAAACCCTTTGTGACAGTTAGATTAGTGTAACTGCAATTCGAAAATGCTATGGGAAGGGAGGGAAACAGGTCCACGACGAAGGAAGCGGTGATGGAAGTAGTCAAGGCGAGCAGTCCGGAGAGTAGAAACCGTTTGTGACAGTTAGATTAATATACCTGCAATACTAAAATGGTATAGGAAGGGAGGGAAACAGGTCCACGACGTAGGAAGTGGTGATGGAAGTAGTCAATGTGAGCAGTCTGGAGTGTCGGAAGCCTTTGTGACAATTAGAATAATGTATCTGCAATTCTAAAAATGCTATGGGAAGGGAGGGAAACAGGTTCACGACACTTAGGAAGTAGTGAAGGAAGTAGTCAAGGCGAGCATTCCGGAGTGTGGGAACCCTTTGTGGCAGTTAGATTAATGTATCTGCCATAATGAAATGCTATAGGAAGGGAGGGAAACAGGTCCACGACGTAGGAAGCGGTAAAGGAAGTAGTGAAGGCGAGCAGTCCGGAGTGTAGAAACCCTTTGTGACAGTTAGACTAATATACCTGCAATACTAAAATGCTATAAGAAGGGAAGGAAACAGGTCCACGACGTAGGAAGCGGTGATGGAAGTAGTCAAGGCGAGCAGTCCGGAGTGTAGAAACCCTTTATGACATTTAGATTAATATACCTGCAATACTAAAATGCTATAGGAAGGGAGGGAAACAGGTCCACCATGTAGGAAGTGGTAATGGAAGTAGTCGAGGCGAGCAGTCCGGAGTGTAGAAACCCTTTTGACAGTTAGATTAATATACCTGCAATACTAAAATGCTATTGGAAGGGAGGGAAACAGGTCCACGACGTAGGAAGTGGTAATGGAAGTAGTCGAGGCGAGCATTCTGGAGTGTAAAAACCCTTTGTGATAGTTAGATTAATGTAACTGCAATTCTAAAATGCTATGGGAAGGGAGGGAAACAGGTCCACGACGTAGGAAGCGGTGAAGGATGTAGTCAAGGTGAGCAGTCCGGAGTGTGGGAACCCTTTGTGAAAGTTAAATTAATCTATTTGAAATTCTAAAATGCTGTAGGAAGGGAGGGAAATAGGTCCACGACGTAGGAAGTGGTGAAGGATGTAGTCAAGGTGAACAGTCCGGAGTGTGGGAACCCTTTGTGAAAGTTAAATTAATCTATTTGAAATTCTAAAATGCTATAGGAAGGGAGGGAAACAGGTCTACGACGTAGGAAGTGGTGAAGGATATAGTTGAGGCGAGCATTCCGGAGTGTAGAAACCTTTTGTGATAATTAGAATAATGTACAGTATCTGCAATTCTAAAAATGCTATGGGAAGGGAGGGAAACAGGTCCACGACGTAGGAAGTGGTAAAGGAAGTAGTCAAGGTGAACAGTCCAGAGTGTGGGAACTCTTTGTGACAGTTAGATTAACGTATCTGCAATAATAAAATGCTATGAGAAGAGAGGGAAACAGGAAATACGTTACGTATATTACCAATGACTTTGGTTAATTAATGGACGAGAAGTTAGGATTGTTGTTGACTGAGATTTGGTTTTTTTAAGAGGTTGGTCCAGCCTCTTTTAACCTCGCCCGTGCGTGGATCGTTTACAGCAAAGCAATTGGTGAGCCGGTACAGTACAAAGGTGAACTGTACTGATAAAATTTAGTGGCAGTGACCAGGATCCGAACTCACGACATCGCTGCCTTGGGCCCGAAGTTCGCGTGATGCTACCGACTTGAGTCACCGACTCACCATTATTTGCCCCGACTCATGGGTCGATTTGCCCATACAAATAACATTATTGTGTACACCAGTGACACCGGTAAGTGTGCTAGGTGTGGGTAAACTCTTTCATTATTGCGCTCATGTTCACTCATCCTGTTACGTGCAGAATAAGCGTACTACTAGTTTTAATTGAATTTAATGTTTAGAAAACAATTAGATTGCTGTTACGTCTCACTTTAAAGTTTAAATTCGCCTGTAAAAATTATGTTCCTTCTTGGCAATTCAATTAACTTGGGCAGGACTTCTTACTTGGAAGCTCAGATTCAAATCCTATGACACATCAATTTTTAGTAGTTTGTCATGTAAAAATGCCACAACATAACAGATCATAGCTTACATAAAGCTGTAGGTCCAACTATCAAGTGATATAGGTTTATGAATCTAACTGTCTGATTGGAGATCTCTTACACAAGAAGCTAAGTAATAACTTAAATTTTAAACTGTGATTCATCAACCCAAATAATTAGACTTAAAAAATGGATATTTTTGAAGATGAAATAAAAGTTAAGAGTTTTAAAAACTCTTACAACGAATCAGTTATACTGGCCATTGTCAGAAGAGGTTCTTAAAGGAAAACCTCAACGGAAAAATTACATTTCAGTGTCTTTTTTCATGATGTTAGCCTCCGAATCACTTTAGTTAATTAATAAATGGTTTAAATACCTTAACTGTCAGGTGATCCTTGGAGTTACATCCTTGGAGGTTACAAGTGAATGAGCCAGAGCCAAATTGGAATTAGAGTAATACCTGAGAAAGATGGGCCTCAAACAACATTGTAAAGACAGAAGAGCATGGAAGGTTGTGTTAAGTTGACGTGGCCTAAAGTCCACACAAGTTACACGAATAAGATTGATACTTGATCATTAAACATCATACATATGTCAATAGAACATGTCAATAGTTTGTAATGCAAGTTGAAATCAAAACGATACATGCAACCTTGAGATACTTGCAACATGAACAAGGAGAATATTATTTGGTAAGCTTAGCTGCAGAATTTTAAAGTCTATGATTTGATAAAACTGGTTTTAAATGTAAAATGAGGCTTATGTTGTAGAACATTCTTGTAACAAAATGTTTGACAAACAGTTTTTTCTTTGGAACAGTTCCTGTGTGCTGGAACCATTTAATTTAGTTTTAATTCCTCCTGTAAAGTGGGATCTTGGACTTAAGTTGCAAAATACAGGATATTCTCTACTCTACATTCTCATACAGAATGATTAGTAGCATTGGATTTCTCTTAGTGTTTAGCACTAACTGTTGGTATAATTAAAGGAAACAGAACCTTTGGTCTACTTTCGTTCCAATTTTATAGTATAACTATAGGCAACTATTAGAATTCAACACAAGACTCAGTATAGTTCCTGAACTTGAAACCAAAGTTCAAGGTTTGTGTGATAATTTAGATAAGTTGACATATTCAGCTGATAAGCTCTATTGTTCCGTGTTATATATTGTTAGATACCAGGTCAAGTCTCTACACTTGGACCATAAACCACCGGCATTCACTTGACATATTTGTTTTGTAACTTACATGAATAGTGAGTGATAAATGGTATCAGCAATCTAACTAATACTTTCTCCCATTAGCTTGTCAACAATCCTTAACATGGGTAAGCGGTGGGATTAACTATGACATTTTATTGTGAAAATCACAAAAGTTGCAATAACTTTTGAACCATAATTTTACAGCTATTGGGTCAGAGTCATAACATTCAGTTTGCAGGTAAAGAGACGATGACGTACTAGAATTTGAATCTATTGGTTGAAAAGTTTTGGGAAAATCCTATTTTCCCGTTATTTTATGGTTGTTTGTGAGAAAATCATCATCAAAAAACAAAAATTTCATAAAAATGAAAAAAAACCTTGAGATAACATGGATTAGTGGACATACCAAATTTAATAAAAACCAGGCAAAAAATGTAGCCTGTAGCTCCTGTACAGTGTACACATCCACACACACACAAACTCAGAGACATCACTTCGAAAGGCACTTTATTGGGTTTCAGGGTACTTAATGAAAAACAAATATTCCACCCAAAACTCAAACTAGAAAATTTTGACTGAACAATACTTTCTCCATATACCGGAGGGGGGGGGGGGAGAAAGTTTAAAGTTATTAATGATTTTAAAACCAAGCTAGTTTTTTAAACGAAATAAGTTATATTTGACAAAAGTTTTCATGTAAAACAGATCGATCTGATGTACGCTGGCTAATAAAGAAAGACGTTATTTATTTATTTAGATGAAAAAGAAATCACCACACTCAAGTGTTAGCAGATAAGCATTCGTCTGATCATGAAATTGTCCTCACTCCATAAGAATGATGAAAAGATAATATTTAATCTATGATCTATGGTATGGTTTTTCTCTCTAGTCATAACATGAATATATATTGTGACAGTTAAAATACTTTACAGATGTGGATCTGGAAGGCATATTGAATCTTATAGCATCTAATGTCAAATTAAACTCTGATCTTGTCAAAGCTCCCATCACAGTCAAAGCATTGGACTTCTTCCAAACAGAATGGGACGAAGAGATGAAGGCAATTATGAACGAAGTGGACTTGGTTTTGGCTGCTGATGGTAATTATTAATTATAAAATTGTTTTGTTTGAGTTTGATTGGGGGTGGTTTTTAGCGAATTTCCCATATAGGGAATAAGCTATTACCGTAGTACTCATGGTAAGACCTGGACCCGGGACCGATTTTTTTTTTCGTTTTGAGGTCCCTAGAGGCCAAAAACACCATCCGTTCAAATTCATATATATATATATTTATATATGTGTCCGTTAGCGCGATAACTCGAGCAAAAACGATCCGATTTTGATGAAATTTGGTACAAACGTGTAAACCTACGTTTATTCGAACGAGTTCGCGAACCAGCATGATCGGACCATGGGAACGGGGGTTTATGGGGGGTTTTATGGGGTAAAAATGGGTTTTTCCCACTTTTGACTCAAAAAACATAAAATTTTGCAATTTCTTTCCGAACTATTTTGTAGAGCTTAAAAAAACAAATAATTTAGTATATTGAAGCGTTATAATGCACATAATGGTTACGGAGAAAATTTCAAAAAATTGTAAATTTAAAATTCCCATGTTATTCTTATGGAGAATAAGTCAACTGTTGTAGTTTGCTTGTTTATTAACATTTTTTGCCCAAATTTGGAAAATGTTTTTATTTCTTACTAACTATTAACATTTTACATAAAAAACACTTTTACCCTCCCTGTTGCAGCAAACCTAAGTATGTGTTAAACTGATTCTATTTAAATAGGGAATAAATGTGATATTTTTAAGGAGACATTTTAGTGTAAATCCAATCAGGCAAATGGAAATTCGCTTAGTCTGCAGGTTTGCTGCGGCGGGGGTATTATAATAATGCTGCGGGACTGTGGGATTAAATTAGGGAGATTTTAATTATTGTTCACCATAATTTAGGCATAGTTAATATATGTGGGTTCTGTGCTGTAATCGGGTACTAACAATGACTGTTGTATATGACCTGTTAGATGTAAAACTAGACTATTCCTTTATCAGAGTAAGGATTAGTTCTAGCAGTATTATAAAACATCTCATGATATACAATGTGTCCTTTAATTTTGTGGAAGAAAAAAATTGTATACACTTCCCACTATAGTTTAGCAAACCTTCAGGAGCTACTGTTAAATTTAAATGGTTGTTTATTTAATGGATAGCCTACTTGTACAAAAATTTTCAGGTCTAAATGTTCCCCAATGTTATTTGAAATGTGGTATTAAATACTCTAATGGCTCTACTGAGTGCACGGATTTCTTTTTCTATCTGTAATATCATCTGTTTTTTGTCTGCTTGATAAGATACAAACGATAACTGTTCCTGAATTGGTAGTTCTCACGAATACTTGAAAAATACCCGTATGGATCATAAACATAAACAAATGATGTTTTTGGCCCAAAAATAAACATTGTTTAACATTGCTTAAATGGAACTGCCAAAACATATGTTAATCTATTAGTATAGGATTCGGGCCAACGTCATTTGCTTATGTTTATGATCCATACTGGGTTTTATTCTAGTATTCGTGGTAGTTCTTCATAAACTATCCTTTTATTGTAGTACTGTATACTGTTTACCTTACAATACTTTGTTTTGTATATATGTATTAAAAAATGTTTTGTGTCAATGTAGATAAGACATCAAATAATCTACGAAATCAAATTAACGCACATGCAACTAATGAGGTCATGTTATTAACCCTTTGAGTTACATGGCTTAGGAAGTACAATAAATTTAATATGCCTATATTTGTCTTGTTTTCCCTTATCCTATAAACACAAAATGTCGAGAAAAAAATATTTTGGTGAACACACACACATAGAAAGAATGGTCAAAAAGTAGCAAAATGCATTGTTGAAATGCTCATTGATGAAATTCACAAAACATCTACCAAACTCATAAACTTATCCAAGCTGTCCACCTCAGACAAAAACTGAACTGATCATGAATAGCACACCAGACCTAGCCTAGACGTGGTTTAAACCATTTAGATCTGTGATCAAACCTTGGATTCATGTATTTGTACCACTTTCTTTTTGTAAAAATAAGTAACTTGGTTTAGATTCACCTGGCGTTAATAATTAATCTCTCCCAAAGGCTAATTGTTGATTTATTTTACAGTAATTTATGATAATGATTTGACCGATGCAATTGTCAAAACATTAACAAAAATATTAAGTACGCCTCCAAAGAAAGTTGTTCTTGTGGCGTTAGAGAAGAGGTAAGCAATCGTTGACTTTTTAGAACTACTAATAGGCTCTTTCTTGCTGAAACTAAAAAAAGTCTGAACAATCAGAAGTTAATGAAAAATAATTGAACACATTTAAAAACAAATTGTATATATGTGCAAAATTAGTGCAATATTCTAAATAATAAAAGAACACTGCAATAACTTGTGGACATACTGAAGAGCGTTGGTTGAACGTGTTATAACTTGTTTGTTTGTGTGTAAATGCATGTGCCAGAGCATGAGTTGTACACCTGTAGGTGAGAGGGAGTCTATATTTTAGCCTACCTATTTGGCAGTTGGTGATTTTCAGATGATAATACTCGATACTAAAAATACTTGTCAAGCTAATGATACCAAAAACCCTAAAATGTAAAACCCTTTCAAAAACTTGCTGTAATTATCAAGAAAGAATCAACTTTGATCAAATCATCATGCATGTTTTATATAGACATATTTTTAGCTTTTTAAAGGACCAAGACTGCATTACACAACAGTCCCACTTATAGGTACCACATGTTGGGGGAAAACATGTTACTGCATTTACATTAAAACCAAAGTCATGTGTTCTGAAATAAACTTGAATTTTGCATTGAACTGGGACATTTAGAATACCTAATTGCCATTAGCTTGAGCCTGAGCATGCACTCATCCGTTGGTTCTGTTTTAAGGCTGTCATGTAGTAAGAAGAACCTGATTATGGTAGATAATCCCTGATCCATGATCACAGAAAATATCACGGTGTTGCTATGATGCGAGAGAAATACTGTAGATGACCATTTTCTGACATAAATCGATTTTTTTCTGGTAAATCGATTTGGTATCTGAACAATTTGGTAATCAAAACAATTGGCAACGATTGGCAAGTTCTGGTGTATTTATAGTGTTGATTGATGGTGATTTACTAATATTCCTTTGTATCTTTGTATAACAGTTTGTGTTTTATACTGTGCCAAAGGATGCATGCTTTGCTACAGAATAATGCTTTCATTGCTAAACAACAGTAAACACAAAAATTAATAATTCAATTGAATTGCAGTTTAAATTTAAATATTTATTGTATACATTTTTTTGTGGGTTTTCCTTTTATACATGTAATATTTCATTTCATTTCATTCATTATTTAGTATTAATTTTTTTTTTATGTTAACTTCTATTCATACACCTAATAATCACTCCTCAGAAAGACTGTCCTAATATTCATTTTCCTAATTTATATAATTTCATTAATATGTTCAATTAATCATTAATAATATTCATTCATAGCCTATATTTTTTTTTTTTTACAACGCCCACAACCTAATTATTTATTAAATATGTAAGAGAATTGCAATACATAAAAATTTCTTATAATATCAATAATATCATTTCAAAATTAGTCCTTAAGGAATCAAAATTTAAGTAGCAGTGAAAGTGATCCCATGTGTTCAACAATCAGTGATGTGAACATTGAAATTGAGAGAGAAGGAGCCATTGAGAAGTTGAAATTGTTAGAAGAAGGACTCAAAATTTTACCTAAATCAAATTCATTCATCAAGAAGACCAGTTTCAAGTTATATCACAGTTTTTTTAGCCTAAACCTCAAGAGGACTCAACTCAATCATTATCTTCAAAATTAAGTATAACCTTTTCTTTAAACTCTTTTAAATTTTGTACTAATTGGACTTACCTTTTGGACAACACCAAAATTAGATTTTTCATTGTTGGGATTGTGTAAGTTTAACACCTTAATTAGGCCTATTTGGACACTATTAAATTTAAATTCTTAGCATTCAAGCCAGCACGACACCCTACCCTGAGACATATCATACCTAAATGATTTGAACCTTCAAGTTATTATTCAAATTTATCTTTTATTTCAATTTAATTTCAACCCCATACACCATTGTCAATCCTTTCATTGTAACGTCAAGTCTTTTCTCATTGCATGTTAATTGTTCATTTGTTTAAATAAAACACCTTTTGTAATCCATATCTTTGTTAACTTATTAACTTTAAACATTTATAGAATAGGCCTAGCCTAAATGAATATTGTAAGGTGAGTTTACATACAAGAGATGTTATGTTACATGGATTGTTGTCAGCAACACAGTCAAAACTTTTGGCTATCTCACAAATTGACTCCAGTAAATAATTTATGTTATCAGTTTGTGTGGCTTGCCAGGAACTGATAAGATAGCACTTGTCCTCTAGAGGAAGGAAATTGAGACTCTCTTTTTTCTAATTTAGTTTTTAACTCAAAATCAAAGTACGGACGGACAAATAGTTACTGAATGTGCTGTTAATTTATTTTTTTGTTTAGGTTCGTGTTTACATTGGAAGACTTAGACGTGGTTGCACCATGTTATGAACATTTCCTCAAGGTAATCAAGCAAGAATGGATGTCTCCGCCAATGTCAAATTGGTCAATGGAACAGCTTCCATTGGACTTTCCTCAGTACTTCCACTATGACCGGACCAAACACCTTGTTATATGGAAGTTATCATCATGATCTGGGCACTCAGTGTTATAACAATTCACTCAGTGTTGGTATTTGTATCTGATAAGACGATTCTATGAGTTTAAGCGAAGCTCATTTAGTTGTTTAAAGCAACTTCTGATCAGCTATATTCCTTATTATTTTTACAAAGAAGTAACTAGATGGAGGAGGTTTTTATATCAGTGACTTTTGTTTGACCGAGATCAAATGCCAACTTAAGGCGAAGCTGGTTTTTATAGCAAAGGAGAGTTTACAGAAGCCCCTATTCCAGAGCGCTGTTATCATTGATACCCACTTACTGCACACATCAACATTTCCTCTGGGTCATCAAAAATTGATAATCAAATTAGATTATCAATATTTCCTGTGGCAGTGAGTCAATGACTTTGTTGAAGATTTAAATTTTTTACTATCTGCAGTAACATTTTTGTTCTTACCTCTTTACTCAAAATACAATCAACAACATTTGGGCGAAACCTGTATCAGCATATTTACACTATTTTAAACATTTATGAGTGATCCAGTGTATCTAAATCCTAAATCAAGTTTGTTTTTGAAATTGCATAAAAACTGACATTTTCAAAGCAGCTTGAATTGAACCTTTTCATCTAGTTTGTTTTGTTATAGCCAGGTGTTAGCTCATAGTTAGACATAATTTTCTCACCAACTATGATCAAAATGAGTTCAAAATTATTGTTAGTTTGTTGTTACCAAATTGTGAATGTTTTTAGATACCTATTTTAAGTAATATTTATTATTAAAATATTTTTGTTATCTAGTTGTAGTAAGTTATTTATGTATAACTTTAATCACTAGTCATGGGAAAGACAAAAATATTTGCCAAAGAAATTATAGTATTAACAAATTCTAGTCAGTTTAGTTTCCTAGAACTGTAAAGTACCAAATATACGTGAATTATTAAATATTAATCATTAACTGCTTTTGACTTCTAATCTGTTAACCTCTGTCCCTGATCGTATTTGCTTCAATTTATTTAGAGTTATTACTTTGCATTGCCCATGGAAATTTTTTGTGCTACTTTATGTAAATACTGTAGCTTTAAAACACTAACTATAAGTAAAAAAAATAAAAAAAAATAACGATTTGACAATAATAAGTTAAAATGGGTTTTTAAATACCACAAAAAAGCTCAAAATCTTGGTAAAAACAGATCGCTAATATAATGAGTACATTTAATTACATAGTTTAAAAAGCAAAGATCTCTGATCACAGTTTGAAAAATATATCTTTAAAAGTTATCTAATGCTCCAGTTAAATAAGTTATTTAATAACTTATTTAAATTAAGTTTTTAAATTTAACTTTAGGAGTTTATACGAGTTCTTGTTTTTATGGGATTCAAATTTTTTTGTTATATCTACTGCTACTGCATAATATAATCTGAGTTCTTTGTGGGAACTAAATTAAATTCCAAATCTGGTTTTACAATTTTTTTATTTGCTAAAAGTTGAAATGGTCAAATGTACAATGAATTATTACAAGTAGTTGTAATATATTACTTCTTATGTATAATATACAACTCAACAATGAACTTCTATTAAATCAAAACGACAGATATGTAAAGATACTACGATAAGCACTCACCACTACAGTAGCCTATACACCAGTTTATGTGCATCAAGTTTGTACAGAAAAATACTTGGGTGGAAAAGAGTATGTTTATGAACTATTTCATGACAAATAAAAGATAATACACTTGATTATTGCTCTTACAAAAATATAAATCTACAGCAAATAATGTAAACTGACATTTTACAACTCACAGTTGAGAATATATAGCAAGAATGACTTAATGAATCTGAAATGTTGTTCTTAGTACAAGTTGTTAACAATAGTTGAGAGAGATGTGCCGAAATCAGCCAACAGTTATATTAAAAAACAATAAAACACTTCAAACCATTTAGGATATTTTAACAAATGCAACACAAAAATTATTTACAACTACAGAAAACTGAAGTCAACTTTGGATTAACTCAAATTAAGTCGCTTGAGATCATGAATATTCCTTAATTTTTTAGAAGATTTCACTAACATTAGAGAAAATTAAATATCATTGCTTTTTTAACGTAAAAATCACACTTTTTAAATGCCCAAACACTTTGAAAACATGTATATAAAAGTCAACATACATACAGGGTATGGCAATCAAAATCTGAATGTAAAAACTATAAAATCTTCGACAATGACATATTTACACAATAATTGCCTAAGGGGGAGACCCAATCAGCAAACAAACAATAGCTAGGAAAACAGTAATTTATGATAAAGGCACTTCACACATCCTAACACATAGTGAACAACATTAGGCAAATACATTTTAGCCACAATAACATTTAGCTATATCCACTCTACTCAAAACATTGTAAGTTTACAGATCATATTTTTAACATAACATCCTCTAATTAATTGTTAACAATACAAAGGGACAAAATTATTTCAAAAAATATTTTGTAGTCTCGTACTCATCTCTAAGCTCAATAGAAAATGAAGAATAAATATTTAATGAATGAACATAGTAATCAATAAACAGACTGTCTTAGATGTTTTTGAAACAAACACAATACACTAAATCTTTCAGTAGGTTCTAATTATCTTTATGGGTTTGAATGTAATTTGATAAAAAAACCACTTATATTTTTTTCATGTTCATCCATACGGTTTCTTAGACAATTACATACATTCATTAGACACATTCGATCAAGTAGCCTAAAAGATTATTTTAATATATCATCAACAACATTAATAAAAATAAAATTAATGGTCGAAGAAGGGATATTATTCATTATGGCAGTGATATAGTCCAGTCTCATAGAATCACTTAACACAATATGAAAAGTGTATAACTTTTTTTTGTTTTAATCATTAATTTTTTTTATTAGCTACACTAGTTTATTAATTATAAAAATGCTTGAAAATAAATAAACTGTAAAAAGATAAGCTATGCTGAAATGATTGCAATGTATAAAACCGATAACTCATGTACTAAACACCTACTACCAAAACTGAACACGTAATAATTTGCTTACTTAGAATCAATGAAACAATACAGTGAACAAAAAATACAGCTTGGTTCTAAAAAGAATAATTAAATCTAAGATACAAAATAGAAACTCTAAACATACATTGTAGGATAATAAAAAAAAAATAAAAATAAATTACCAGACAAAACATTTTTCACTTTGGCAATTAAATTTTTGGGTAACTATAAACGGTCATACAAACACAAATTTATGAAATATGCACAGCCCACTACAAAAGAAATGAAGACATGGTCATTGGTCTTATTACACAAAAGCTGAAACAAATCTTAAACCAATAAATGGTACATTACCCCAGATTAGTCAATACAGTCAAATAAATCATCTTAGTAACTAAGTCTAGTAATTAATTTAAAAAAAGAACTAGAGTAAGTTTCGAGTAACACATAAAAACAAGTGTAACGATTTAAACAATAGAACAATTTGTTTCTGTTCCAAGAATATGCTCAATTATGCAGCTCATTTATGGATCAAAAGATCAGTGTAAAATACACGGTTAAGACTATTCCACAGGTAAAGTACAGGGACTTGAGCTTGAAGATAATTTAGTACTTAGGTGTTTATAGAGCACCAACTAAATACTTAGGGGCACTATGTTAAAGTTTGTCGTTGAGGGTTTTTAGAATGGTCCCTAACACAAATTTAAAGTCAATTCCTATTGACGGAGACTTAGCCTCAACCTCCCCCCCCCCCCTAACTTAGGGAACCAAGGGAAATATCCTACTCGACCTAGCTTTAACCACGTTAACAGAATTCAACCTACTTAAATGCTGATCTATTCTCGGACATGGCAAACTTTTAGGAGTGGTTCACAAACAAGTTTTTTTCTTTCTAAAAAATCACAACTTTTAAAATTGTAGCAATAAATGTTTGGGACTTTACAAACAAGGAGGAGTTTTCAAAGAAAATTAGACAGCTAAAAAATATGCACTGGTCTTCTACTTATGTAAAATTTTAGACCATAGGTCTATTATTATTATATATTGATTATTAAATTTATCATGATTGAAATTATGAGTAAAACCGGTGTTTTTACACAGCGGTTACACTAAAAATAGCGGTGGGTTTTTATGATTTTCAAAAAGATTTAGTCCTTTAATATCTTGTATACTGTAGTACAAATATTTTAAAGTTGAAAATTTTAAACAGCACAATGGACTGTGTTTTAAGGATTTTTGTGAGGATAACATGCTAAAATGGGAGAGTTCTCTCTGTCACAAGAAATAATTTCCATTGAGCAAGAGTGGACACTTTCCCATTAAGGTAAACCTGCTACCATCACAAAAAAACAAAACATATTTACTTGTCTTGTATCCTGAAATACTCACAATACTTAAAAAAATATGTTTTAAGTAGGCCTGTTTAGTAAATACCGCATACCTTTTCCTATCTAAGCTAAGTAAATCCTGAGATGAAGTTATGGTATATGAATTCAAGACACTGAGATTGTACTGAGAGCAGAGCTGTGAACTAAGCATATAAAATCATTGACTAGCTGCCACCACCCTTGGTCGCATTTACTACTGTACTGGACGTGCCGTTTTCCAAAGTCTTTTTCCTGAGAGCGTCGGTTGCGCCAGCAAATGATTTCCGCCTCAACAACACAACTGGGTTGCTTGACTCCACTGGATTGGATGACTTCCTTCTCAATTTGATGGCAGCTGACTCCTTATCTTTGTTTGCAGGCATAGGTTGTGGTCTAGGTATACTTACAGGAACACCGTTCGAGGCAATTTTCCTCTTAGCACTATCGTTCTTGTCCTTATCTTTCTCGCCTGGTTTTTCTAAGCCAGGATTCTTCTCTGGTTTCTTTTTCTCTTTCCCGCTTTCCACAGGCACATTAGGTTTTACTGTAAAGCAGGTATAATTTTTAAAATTTCAAGTCATTGAATGGAACAAGAGTTTTAGTTGAGGATGGTTTATGCTATCAAATACATTTAAGAGTCCAAAATCTAATTAACATTGTAATAACAGTGTGTATTGAGAGAATAACAGGAGAAAAAAATAGGCTAGCATACAGTAATTTAAAATCGATGAGAACAATTACTTAACTGACATTCTTGAAAATAAGATATACTTGTATTAAATAGAAAAGCTTCATCCATTATGTAAACTAACATCAGTTAGATTAGTTGAAAAAAATTAAAAGCAAGCCATCAGCTTTAGCCTACTTTAAAAATTAATGCACAATTAAGGGAACACTAAATAAACAGGCCGTAATGCTCCTTAGGCATGACTTCATCATAGGCGTCAGCAATGACGTAATGTTATTTTTTTAGTTATATTTTTGTTTCCCAAGAAAAGATTAAGACAAGTGGCTGATCGCAAACGGCAAAAATTACGTAATTGCCGTCGCCTACAATGACGTCATGCCAGAGGAGAATTACGGCCTATTTATTTAGTGTGGCCTTGGTACAATCTTTTTACCTCATAATATGAAGTTTGATCCACTGACTTTTGGATACTAAAGTAGACATCCAGCCTAAATGGACCAGCTGTAGCCTACTTATTATATAAAAATTTTTTAGATGAGCCACACTCATAGAGTATGCTACAGTTGCTGAGATAGTTTAAGTTTAACAAAAAGAGTTGGCATCTTCTACAAAAATTAGTAGGCCTAGTTTACATTTTTACACACTGTCAGTAGCTCATTTCAACATCTATGTGATAAGAAAACTGGGGACAACTTTAAGCTGCGGGTGGAAAATATAGGTCTGTTACGGTGGAACCCCTCGCATCCAACCAAGACGGGACCGGGCCATGGTCGGAACGGCCAAAAGGTCGGATATCGGGAGTAGCATAACCTGCAGTCTCCGTGACATCGGCAATCGTCTCCCGCGACGACGACAGCACCTGCGAGCATAGCTTGCAGTCTCCGCAACTTTGGTAACTGTCCGCAGGCGTGAGCTTCGGTAATCGTCCCTCCCGACAGCACCTATGTGTTTAACTTGCAGTCTCCCCGACCTCGGTTATCGTCCAAGACAGCAACAGCACCTGCGAGCGTAACTTGCAGTCCCCGCGACTTCGGTAATGGTCTTTCGCCATATCGACAGAACCGTTATTGGCGACAGAGGTGATTGTCGCCAATCATGCTTCGCATTATCGCCCCAGAAAACAAGTAGATGGTCGGACATTAGGTTGGATATCCCGAGGTCGGAACTGAGGGTTTCTACTGTAATAGTCAAAGGCTGAACTAAACAGTTTGGTACTCTCAAAACATCAATGACTTTAAATGACATTATTCAACTACTAAAGGAATCAGTATAACCCACTGACCTAAGCCGATGTTGAGCTTCTTCTTGGCAGGAGGGGCGGGGGAGGGGGAGGCAGGGCCTTCACTTGTTCGTTTCTTGCTCACATCCTGAGTCACAGGCCGCTTCTCTGCCTTGGGCTGGACGGAGGACGGTTTGCGCCGCTCTGTGGGGTTCTGTGCGGCCGGACTGTTGATTCTCCGTGTCTCCTGCGCTCTGATAGCTCCCTCCGTCACCCAGTGCTGCCGTTGCGCCTGGCAAGACTGTTGCAACACCTGTGACAGATGATACAGTTGAGTGTTTAGATAAAAAGGACAGGAACTTATGTCGGTTAAGTGTAAATACGGTTTTCAATCCAATTTTCTTATGCTTTCCTGAAATTTGTATGATTTGTACTAGCTACAGTAGAATTGAAATTACTTAAACACCAATCACCTCAAGGAAAAAAAAATAGCCAGAGAAATATGGTTTATATCAGTTTGTGATAACCGATAAATATTTAGATGTGTGCAAATTGTGTTCATGATGTGGCAAGTCTATTGTAGTGTTGTACCAATCGGTGGGTGAAGAAAAGACACCTGTGTTGCTAGTAGTGATGTGTCAAAACCGAATATCTAAACTTAAAACACAAAAACTTTGGAAAAGTTTTTGTCAGGGAGTTTTATTGTTGTTTGGCAAAATCTCTTTGAAGCAACACAAACCATCTATGCAGTAGACCTTCCTTTGATTAAACTTAGTTAGAATCAGCGTTTTCCACTCTTTATTTGAAAGTGTATTATTTAGACTAACCTTGCTCTCATCACCATCCTCTTCCACCAGCTCCTGCAGTTTCTGGATAGTCGTGTAGACTGTCACAGGACTGACGAGACCAAAGTCGAAGAGGTTGCACATGTGTAGCACAAAGTTGCGATACAGGTTCTTCTTTAACAGCTCCCTCCCCTTGGCCTGTAGGTACATGTTGCACGCCAACGGAATCTGGCAGTCTCCCACGTAACTGATTGTACAAACACAACACCAACCACTTGAATGTTTGACAGAGGTTTTTGTTGACAAAAATTAAGATTATGTGTTATTAAATGAAATAATAAATAAAGATTACATAACGTTAGTAGGGAGGAGGCCTATTTATTGGTTACAAAGTTTAGACGGAACACTGTCAAGGACAGGTTTAAATTATTTTTTTTAACTTCGCTGACATAAATTGTTGTAATAGTTCCGTTATGTATTATACAGGTTAGTTTTGTTCAAGGAAAGGCTCTAGGCCAGAATTTTGAATTGTAGAAAAAGGATGATAGCAGCTAGCTTACCTTGAAAGTGTAGGTAGGCCATAGAACATGTAGACATGTGTGCACAGTGTATTTTCTACAACAGTGTATTTTGACTATTACAGTGTATCATCCTTTTTCTACAATTCAAAATATATTATACATGGCTATTAAAAAATATTGACCCAACTTCATGACTTTGTATTTCAAAAAGTATAAATCGGACAGACATAAACTTTACACCATTAAAAAGAGGAAATTTTAAAGTTTTTTACCGTATTTGACCATAAGTAAACGACCGAAAAGGTTATTGCAACAATGGGCAGCCATTTTGTTTTACCGTCTGTTGTTAGTTGCTGCCTTCTGTGCAGCATGAGATTTTCTGTGTGGCAGAGTTTGCAAAACTGAGTCTCCTATTACAGTGCAGCGGGCTTTTTGCACCGAATTCAGTAATCAACCATTGACTAGAAAAAGCATAACTCGTTGCTTTAGGCAATTTAAAGAAATTTGCGACACAATAGATGCTGTCTGATGCATGGGACGAATTTATTTATTTATTTATTAAACATCATCACATTACATCAATTCTCTTGACAGGTGATTTGTCACAAAGTCTAATAGCCTACTAATACTATACTACATTTTAAAATAAAATAGCTTACAAAAGAAATAAAGCATATAATAAGCTACAAACCTATGGGAGAAGCAATATCTTTCAAATATACTCATTTTCCAGATATTCCTCTAACGAGTAAAACAGAATTTGGCTATAACTTAGATGTTTGCTGTGCAGCACAGGGGGACACATTGAGAATTTGTGATCAGTGTAAACAACACCTGAAAATATTCTCTTTCTAACGGTGTAAAACTTATTTGTTTCCGATTTATACTTTTCAAGATACAAAGTCCCGAAACTGGGTCTATATTTTTGGATAGCCCTGTATATTCATAATGATCACTACAAGGCTTGTGGGACTTACACCAGTTACTATTGGTTTATAAATCCTCTTACCCATGCCTCATTACATGAAGGTTCCACATCTTCATGAGTTCTTTCTCTCCTTCGTTCACATCTGTGAACTCATCTATCATCATCATGGTTTTGGTTTGCAGCCATTTAGGATCATTTTCATCTTCACTGTCAACATCCATTTCTTTGGGATATATTGGTAGACATGTTGTTGTGTGATGATATAACCTGCGTGAAAAAAAATAATACTGACATTAAACATATTATTTTTAACATAAATTTCTCCAAAATAAAACATACTCGTAAGTCAGTTTTTTAGCGAATTTCCCTTTAGCTATTACCGTAGGTGGCACGGTAAGATCCGGCAGGTCCGGGACTGATTTACTTTTTCATTTTGAAGTCCCCAGAGGCCAAAAACACTATTTGTTAAATTTTTATACAGTATATGTAGAGATTATATATGTAGGGTAAAAAATGGGGTTTCACATTTTTGACCCTAAAAACACAAAATTTTCCAATTTTTCTGTAGACCTTTTCAAAAGCTTAACTAACATATACACTTTATTAGTTTCTTTGTAGCAGCAAACCTAGGTACTCATTAAACCTAATGTTATAGATTTAATTGAAATTCAATTCAGATAAATGGAAATTCGCTTGGTCGGCAGGTTTGCTGCGGCAGGGGTATGTTTTTCTCTACCGAATGGTAGCGGATTTTTTTCTCACCCAGGCTCTAACTCTATTAAAATTACCTGTTGTGTCCAGTAATGTAAGGCCTCTGTCCATCAAACTCATTCTCGTCAAGTTCCAGGAACTCCGAGAGCGATGGGTGAGGTCGCTTGGGGTAACACACGAGGATGTTGGACACACAGGTGCGGCGGACGGGTCCGTTGCGAGAGAAGGCGCCACCTGGCGGCTGTGAGATCAGGTCTTGTGGACAGCCTGAGTAGGAGCCATCGTAATACTCATTGATAGCCACGTCTATCCGGGCACCTCCAGGGATAGGCTGGAACAACATTGGTTTTATAGGAACTCATCAGGTTAAATTATAAAACAACCTATTACACAGAACAATAATTAATTGTCAATTTCAACTTACAGATATGAAAATGTGGAGGAGTTCAAGAAATTACTGTATCTTGATTTGCTCATTAGTTTTTTTTCAAATTTTTAAAAAAAAAATATTTGCGCAAAATATATTTTTTTAAATAACTAAGTAGAGCTGGTAAAAGAAAGGCTCTAACAAAGGATTGTGATTCTTAGACCAAAGTAATAGCAGCTAGATTACATACTTTTAAATGTTTATAGTAATTTCCCCCTGGTAAACCATTCTTAAAAGCAATACAGCATGATTGGCCATGTAATGATTCAAGATAACTTACAACATAGGTGAAGGTGAACCTAGAGTGACACAGTTTGAGATGTTTGAGTAGACAATAGAGAGAGTCACAGTCCAGTGAACACCACGGACAGTGAAGATCCTCACACGCCTCCGTCTGTTGTCTGCTGTTGTTGTTGTACAGGAACTGGTACACTATCTGCAGTTTCTTGTCTGAGGATTAATAAAGAAATGTTAACAATTTTAATTTTTACATGAAAAACCACTGACCTTAAAATACTATGTTAATTAGTATTCTGCACTCTTAAATTATGCAGTTTTTTCCGAATGGTTAAGATGTTGAATTTGACTTTTAAATTTTAACAAACCAAATTTACCTGTGTATGTGCTGGCTGAACCAGTTAGAATGGACAAGGCCAAATTACAAGCCAAATTTTAACTTGTTTAGCAGGCTTTAAAGGACACTCCACACATTGGTAGTCTAATAGGGGATGCGGAATACTACCCCCAAGTGAATCGTGACGTCATGAAATCTGCCAACTAACCAATATGGGAGAGCCGTGTCCGCGATTGGACTACCCCCCCCCCTGCAGCAAAATGTGATGCTAGGTATTAAAGTTAATTTCATACATAATAATTATCATTGTAATTTTAATTCGAATGATTCCGTTTTATAACAGAAAAGGCATGTGGGGAATGTCAAACAGAATTTTGAAATGTTACATCAAGTTTAGTTGGTTAGGTTAGGTTAGTTTAGAACAGTTTGACAACGAAACTTGAGTGCTCGTAACTAGAAAACTGTCCCCCCCCCCTTCGATCACTGACGTCAACATGACATAGGAACCTGCTTGGGGGGGTAGTTGTCCGGGGGCAGTCTTGTGGCGACACACCTAATAGCTATCAAACATAGTACTGCTTCATGTTTTACTTAATACAATATACATTTAAACAAACAAATTTTTGTATAGAATTTACTATTAGTCAAAGAAAAAAAAAGATAAGTTAATTTATCATTTTAATTTTTACATCCTCTAGATACTTAATCCTATACTATATTGTATTGTAGATGTGTAGTATGTATGTATATGACGAAGGCCTATACATAGGCTAATGTGTTGACTTTGTCAATGATTTGTAAAAATCCAAAAGACAAATAAATGATATGATTTGATTTGATTTGATTAAGAACACAATAAAATACAATCATCTTCGGGTAAAAACAAAAACCGTATCGTTAACTTGAGCTGACATTCTATATGGTATTCATCAGAGCAGTATGGAGGTTGTAGCCAAAATATCTGCTCCAGTTACCAGTAATTTTCCCCAGTTTTACCTTGAAGATCACAATATTGCGGTGGACCATCAAAACTTACTTCTAGTGACCTGAAATGTCACTGAATGGCCTACTTAAATTGAACAAACACATTTTTAAACAAAGTAGAAGATGGATGCTGTAATGCCCACCTGGCCTGTCAACCTCCTTGCTAGCTTCTTTGTTGTCTGCTGCCTCCGCCTCCACCTGCTTCACACTGATTGGCTTCGGTCGGTCTACGAGAGTTGTCACAGGCTCTCTCGACCATCTCAGAAAAAACTTGATAGTGGGACCTGTGCTGAACTGTTCAAATGATGTGGACAATTGGTTCTCTATTTGCTCCTACAACAATAGTGAGCTGTTTTACACTTCCAAGCTATTGGCTAAGATTGAGATTTTAATGTTTAGCATCAAGATGTATTAATGAAAAAATAAACAGCCATGATTCATAAAGGGTGATTGAGAAAAGAAGCATGTTCAGATTCAAAACAAGGTTAGAATGGACAAGGCCAAATTACAAGGTATATTTTGATAGGAACGTATTTAGCCTATTCATAAATCACTCAATGAAATGCTCCATGTTGAATCATCCACAAGTAAATTTATTTAAATTCATTGTTAAGCCCCTGAGCTGTGGATATTATTGTAAGAATATATTACTTACGTCAATCAGCTCATTGAGTCATGAGTTTCACCTCAGTACATGTTTCGACACATTGTCATCATCAGCTGAGTTAGTACTTGTGAAGGTTTCATTCACCAGATGGCTTCATCATGTTGAATAAATTAACACGTAACATGTAACACGAATACGACACGACACATATACATTTATAACACCTAAAACTTGAATTAAGACATGCAGGCCTGCTTGAACAAAACATACGGTCACGCCGCGGGTCGGGGACAGATGATGACAATGTGTCGAAACATGTACTGAGGTGAAACTCATGACTCAATGAGCTGATTGACGTAAGTAATATATTCTTACAGTAAATTTATGTAAATAGCATGGGTTTCTGTTCCTGTAAAGAAACACAGATGGGTTTAATTTAACTTACTAAGGTTAGACTCCTGTGGAGTTAGATTAGCATTCTAACCTTTAAAAATGACTTCAACACATGCTATGTAAACACTGAAAGCCACTTCTGCATTTTGTCAATTAATTTAAAATTAAGTGCTATAACTCATTAAAATCTATATATATAAAAAATAATTAAAAATCTATCCAATATAATGAATAAATAAGGGAGATGTGACTTTTCCTCCAGATCTTGCAATATTGGTTATAACCGCCTGGCTCGCCTATGACTTTCCAGTATGGCATGTGTATTTACCTCTTTGATGTGGCCGATGTACTCCCAGGAGGAGAGGGCAATGGATGTTTTACTGCCCGGAGTCATAGGTTCCAACAGCAGTTCGTAATGCCCATCTGACAGCAAACACCTGTTCTGCTTGTCATAGATGATGAGGTCGGTGCCGTACTGGTGCCACTGGTTGTCTTCCTCTCCCTCGGCCTTCAGAGACTTGCGTCTCTTGTGAGGAGGTTCTGGAAACATCAGATTGATAGGAAAAACCAAAAACAGATGTGTTGAATATGCGGATATGTCTATGTTGAAGTCCAAGCACCACTTTGTCCAATAGGAAATACTATCTGTCACTGTTCTGTTTGTAGCTGTTAACTTACCACATAAACCATTCATAGAAAGAATCTTGGACCATTTCTTGATTTGTACGTAATGAAATTCTTGACCAAATGAAACATTTAGGTCCTATTAAAACGCATTCAAGTTCATGTGTAGGTCTACCATTAAGAAATTGTTTACTACAAATAGTTTTATTATTGAAATGTGTCAGCAATTAGTGAGAGATTATCTTTAATAAATGCAGAAGTCAAGACTCAGTTTAAGGTTTACCAGAATCAATGTCGCCATTGGTCATGTTCCCAGCAGCAGCATTGCCGACTCGCAGCAGGAGATGGTAAGACTTGGCCTGATTGCCCTCAGTGAGGCTGAAACACTCTGTAGGAATAGACAAGGCTGGCACCTTGGGTGGAGGATTGTCTTCTGATGGGTTATACGCTACGTAGCAAGTCCCCAACGATTTCTGCAATAGAATCATCAAATAAGTGATTTAAGTAATTGGTTACTTCAAGGGAAAAGGTGTAATAAAATAAAATAAATGCTTCTGGGAGTTTAGTTTACACAAATGATGAAACAGAAGCAAAAACAAGTTTGATTCGTATCAAGGAACATACAACTATTGGAGAGGCCGAAATAAGCTAGTTCATCGAAGTGAATTGTGATTTCCAACTACTAAGCGTTATCCTACTTTAGTTATTAATTAAAACTCCCACATATTTTTGCCTCGAAATGCTGTGTGCCGTAAATTCTAGGGAGTGCCAAAAATATGTTTCCCTGTTCGGGCAGCCAGAAATGTGACGTAAATTCTGAGGGGGAATACAATTAATTGTATTCACAGAACAGGCTAGACCTACCCCTAGAACCAGCCACACTCCAATTGCTTCCCCGGAGCACTCAGAAGCAGCTAAGCACAGAAGAAATTATTAAAAAACTTACGTCATCAATCCATTAATTGCTGTGGAGTACGCGTTTCAACCATCAGGTCATCCTCAGCTCCACTGTCACTAGGTTGAATTTGCTTCTATGTTGCATTATAGCAACAGCGTCGATATATTAAATAAATAGTCCAAACATATTTTACATTTATCACACATACACGACACGTACGAAACATTTAGGTAACAAATACTGTGATAACACCGTGCGCACGGCTGGACGGGCTCAGGTTTGCGGCTACACTGACTTGGTGGTCGGTATCCTACACTGAACTTTGGACCATGACGACATCTTCAGCTGGTTATCATTCTTTTATTGTCCATCAGCCTAATAATGGTGTCATACACTGGATTCGAATCAGAATGTATTTTTTCATTTAATATGTTTTGATTTTGCTTAAAACCCTTGTATATATTCATTTCTTCTAATCTTTCTAGCCGCTGTCCCTTTTTTACATTTGCTATAATTTCTAAATTATTGCTTATATTTGTGTATTTATGCCCCTCTATATTTAAGTGTTCCGCATATTTTGATTTTGTACTCTGTTTTGCTCCCGTTCCTGTCCCATTATTTACTACTTCTTTGACGTGTTCTTTAAATCTTAAATCAAAAGTTCTGCCTGTTTGTCCGATATAAAATGCGTCACAGTTATCACAATTGAGCCTGTATACACCTAAATTCTTGTATTTATTCTCTCCAATGGATTTATTTGCATTCCCCAATAATCTCTGTAAATTGTTCTCTGATTTAAAAGATACGGTGACATTTTGTTTTTTGAATGTTTTCCCGATAATATGCTCCGTTTTCTTTGAGTATCTAACAGACACATATTTTTTGTTTCTATCTAATTGGGATGAGTTTGAAGATGTTTGTTTAGCCATATGCCTATTGTAAAGTTTGTCAATTATAGACGGGTCATAACCATTCTGTTGTGCTATATATTTTATTGTGTTCAATTCATTGTTTCTGTCAGGGATGCTCATTGGTATATTAATTAATCTATGCAACATGGAGTTAAAAGCTGAAAGTTTGTGTGCAGTAGGATGGATTGATGACGTAAGTTTTTTAATTATTTGATAACTCAATCCGTTGTGCTACAATCTCAACAGAAGAAATTGTTTACCATAACGAAAAGCACACTATAATTTCACCACATTTCAAGCAATAATAATCTGTGATATTTGTAATTTATGTGTTTGTTAATGTAGTATGTTATTTATGTAGGCTATCTATTTATTTCAATGTATAGGCTATTTAACTATTTTTGAGATCTACTATCTGTAACCCGCGGGCTTTGCCCTGTTTAGCTTCTTAATTTTCAAGATGATCTCGTTCGCATGGCTCAATCACGTCCTGGTTGAAGTTCGTTCGCTACGCTCACTCACCTTTGGGTTGGAGCTCGTTCGCTACGCTCACTCACCTTTAGGTTGGAGCTCGTTCGCTGCGCTCACTTACCTTCAGGTTAGCTCGTTCGCTACGCTCAATTGCCTTCAGGTTAGCTCGTTCGCTACGCTAACTCACCTCCAGGTTGAAGTTCGTTCGCTATGCTCACTCACCTTTTGGTTGCAAGATAGCTGTTGTCATAAATGTAAAAGAAATAATAGTGCTGCACCCTGTTGGTAATCCTTGTAACTTTAATGCTATTGAACATCATAGAACAGAACCAACTTGTTTAATTGAAACAGCTGTTAAGATTCATTAATTCCATTTCTCATAAGGTTAACATGGGAAACTCCAGAGCCACTGGGGCGGAGCCGATTGGACGGATCGCGAAATTGATGGTGTATAAACCTATTCCATGACATTCTACACGTATGTACCAAGTTTCATGGCAATCGGTTCAGCGGTGTCTGAGTTTATCACTGCCAAACAAATATACAAACATCCTCTTTTATACTTATAGATTTCAAGGTGGCTACCTTACCTAACTTTTCTTGAATTTGAATTTTGTCACTTAAACCTTTTTTAAGCTCAATGGTAACTTAGGCCTAATTAAAAAACAAACACTTTAAATTTTAAATCAACTATTTTTTGTTTTTAAATTACAAGGATTGAAACAAATTAAGGTTTGGTTATTCTTTTAGCTAGGGTATAGCCTTGTAATATTAATAGAGAATGTTGGTTATATATATTTTGTCTCTAGCCAGCTCTTGTCTTGTTATTGTTTGGTCCTCCACCTCTCGCAGGTGGAGGACCAAACAATATTGTGCCGGAATCCCACCATTGATTTTGCGTTTCAATCAATTAAATCATTCTTTATTTTGTAGTTTCATTAAGAATAGTACAATGGCGTCAATAAAAATACAATAATATAACTTAAAACTAGTAGGCTACAAGTTTTTTTTTTTTTTTTTTTGGCTTAACAATATCATGAAAAATTTATTGCAAGTTAATGGTTCAGATCGGATTCAAGGAATTCCTTCAAGGAGTAGGCAGGTCTGTCTATCAGCCACTTGTGAAGTTGTGTTTTCAGCTAGCGCTTGTTTTCCAAGGGCTTACCCCTTTTAATTAATAGAATTGGAACTTGGGTTACAGATAAATCCGGGTACTTTGCCCCTGCTATTTTCCCTCCCTTTGGCATTACTAAGGGCCTGTTAGCACTTTAGTTTAGTGCTGCTATCTGTTGGTTGTTGGTTCTTGTAAAACCATGTCCACAATGACTGGAACACAGTGCATGCTATGAATGTTCCTGTACTAGGCCGCGGCCAGCCACCACGCAACTGCGGCAAACGTCTTAAGTTAAAAAACAAAACTAAGTAAAATTTACCGTTTGAACTGGACATGATACGTCTTTTCTTTTTTTGTGGCAGATCTTCAAAAGCAAAGTTTCCACTTGAACAGGGTCTGGTTGGCTTTCACCTGAAATTTAAAACTTAAGTTAGCATGAAAATAATTGTAGACATTGTAAAATAAAAATGCATACACATTTTTCATTGGAAAAGTTAGGTCTAGTTAAACCTTAACCCAAACTAGCAGCAAAACCCGGCTTTGCCCTGGAAAAAAACAATGTACAAAAAAGTGGTTATAGAGTAAATTTTGTTCTGTTATCATAGATTTACACATATCTTGGTACTATTTAATCTAGAAATATATTCAATATTAGAGTATCAAAATTGGTGTAAACTTCCATACAAAGGGAATGGGGTGGTTCTTTTCAAAGAATGTAACAAGATCAATAAGAATTTGGCTAGAGGTTGTGGCCTCACAGAAGCTGAGTTCAAACAATACTTGAAAATGGTCGGAGACGTTATTCCTCTTAGAAGTCTTCATGGGAGATCCAGGGACGGGAACCAGTGCAGGTATTGTCCTGTATCTGAGAAATTTATTTTTGAAACTCTTGCCCACGTCCTTGGAAAGTGCCCATTTAGTAGTCTTCTACGAAATACCCGCCACCATACCATCAGAAAAATCATAGCTGATCAATTCAGAAAGAAAAGTTACGAGGTCTATGAAGAGGTCATGGCTATAGAAGAAGAGGGCTCTGTGAGGCGGAGTGACATCATTGTTATAGACAAGGAGAAAGATTTCGGTCTCATTATAGACCCAACAGTTCGTCTTGAGACAAATGAAAATCAGCCACAGGAAGTCCATGAAGAAAAAGTAAATATTTATAATAAAACTATCCCCTATTATTCGGAGAAATATAAAATATCTAAATTTGAAGTATATGGACTACTCATTGGATCAAGAGGAACAATTCCTCAACAAGTTGAGAAATTTTGGAAGAAATTCAATTTGGAAAATCAAGTGCTATATTTAATATCTTTAACAGCCATAAAATTTTCTATTAATATTATAAGAAACCACCTATATAACAATTATCATAATTAGGTTTAAACAAACTTGCAAAATGTATTGTAATATTATTCTTTGTTCTACAGCAGACTACAATGTGTAGTAAGATTTCAATTTTTAAAAATAAATTTGAATTTATATATGTAGCACATGTTTCCTTACATTGCAATTAAAATACTAACAGCAATTAAATTATCCAGCTGATCATAATGTAAACAAATATGTTCTTCATAAAGATAACATGGGTACTTAAAAGCCACTGGGGCAGAGCCCAAGGGACTTTTTCAAAAATGTAAGGTCAGTTTGCAAATATACACACTTAGACGGACATTTTGGTATATAATCTTAAATCTTAAAACAAAAAAGCCTTATTGTTCACAAAGTTTCATGTAGCGTATGAATAATATAGATAGGTAGATAATCTTTTTAAAGTACTATATCTACATCGCATGTTTACACAACACTTGACAATTTTTAATAAAGAATGCTTTTTACTGGTACCTACTTAATACAGCAGAAAACACTTGTACATACATTTTACATGAAATAGGATAAATACAAAGACCATGAATAAAATAACATGTACAGGTATACATGTATTAGATACCTTTTTTGTCATAGAAACCCAGAAAGGTGAGTGTCATATACCCAGCTAGAAGCTGGCTGCTACTGTTGCCTTGTGATCGCTGCACTCTTTCTAAAATGGAGTCGATACGGAAATTCTTTCTCGACTTGTTGGATCGGGACATACGATTCTTCATGTAGGTTAAGGTGCGATTCAGAAAAATCGGCTGAAATATAAAAATAATATTGTCAATCTGTCTTAGAGTATAAGTTTTTTCCTTTCGTTTACAGGTCTAGTTAAAAATTTATTAGATGTTTCCGTAAAAACTTTATAAAGACGCAATCATACAATTGGTGTGTATTTATAGACATAACGAGGGAAGTGTCTAAATTCCTATAAAAGTTTAACTCTCTGTAGGTCGCAATGTATCATTTTGATTCAAGCAACAACCTTTTTGGCCGTCATTTTTTCATGCGCGCACCGTTTGCTATCCCCTCACTAATGTGGACCCCCTTATTTATCCCAAACCAGCCAGTGCTGACCTTTCCCATGGCACATTATAAAAATTATATCAATTTAATACAGTGTGACTTATTATTATTTGTAATTTTGTATTATTTTGATTCAGTGACAAGACAAGGAAATAATATTAAAAAATAAATAAAAATAAAAAAATCAGTTTAGGTATAATTATTTCCAAGCATTTATCCATATTAAGTTATTTAAAAGTTAATTAACTTAAAATCTGTTATTTATGTGTCAAAATGAGACAGTGCGACCATTCCCGTTTGGTGCACGCACCAATAGCTATCCCCTCATTAATGGGGACCCCTTATCTATCCCAAACCAGCCAGTGCTGACCTTGCCCAGGGCAAATAAAAAAAAAGTTATCAATTTGATACAGTACATAAAAAAAAACATTGTCATGCAAAAAAGATTTTTGATGGCAAGGAGTTTAAATAAGATCTTCAATTATAATATTCCAAAAATACAACGTAATTTGTCATTCAATGTTTATAAAAATATTATAACAGACAAATCAATCATTGCAAAGATGAAAACGATACGCAATTGATTTAACTGTGTATCAACTGTACAGTGCGACCCTTCTGGTAATTATTTAGGTATGACCGACGGAGGGTTAAAACCATCAGGTACAAAGCAATAATCTCAAAAGCTTTGAACTAAGTTTTAGTTAGGCCATGATAGCTTAGTGACTTAAATTAATAAAATCAACCTACCGGTAACCCAAACCAGTGGCCAATAAATATATAGTTTTTGTAGTCATTTTATTTTTTTGTAATAATAAACATGATAACAGGGCCCCTGGGTCTGATGACGTACCTCAACATAAAAAATGTCTGAATAAAAACAAAATATGTGTCTGACTAAATACAAAAAAAGTAATGGTCAGCTAAAAACTTTCAAATTAATAAACTACATCTGCAGAATGTATAGTACGGTAACAAGAATGTTTAGTCCCATTTGTAATTCATTCAGATCTTCAATTCAGGCCCTTTTCTATATATCTTATTAGAGATTAAGATATCAGAATAATCAGAATCTTATTTTGAATTTAGATATTGAATATTGAGTTTTGCAGAACACAAAATACTTACGCTTAGTACATTGCGAGATCGTAAGAATCTGTATATCTGAGTAGGTTCTGTAAAACAAAATTCAAGTCAGTTTATTTACATTACAGTAAACCCTGATGTTTGGTTGTTTGGAATAATTGCCAGAATAACTTATACCAAATATTATATACTAATATTATAAATGTGAAAGTTTGTGTGTTTGTTTGTTTGTTTGTGTGTTTGAAGTTCAATCACGCATAAACCACTGGGCGGATTGGGCTGAAATTTGGCATGATGATAGCTTACAATCCCGATTAACATATAGGCATATTCTTATCTCAAAAATCCTTTCGGGCTCCGCCCCAGTGGCTCTGAAATTCCCCATGTTAACCTTGTGAGTATTCATATTCAAAGGGAATTAAAGAATTTAGTCAGCTGTTTCAACTAAAAAAGTTGGTTCTATGATATGAAAAAGCATTAAAAAGTTATAAGATTTACCAACAGGGTGCAGCACTATATTTTTTTTGCATTTATGAAAACAGCTAATTTGAACTTAGCAGCAACAAAAAACTGTGAATGGCAATGAGAACTGTCAAAGTAGGATTGTTTAATGTTATGTTTATGTTTTTCATTTCATGAATAATTTGTGATATTTTGCGAATTGTTGATAATTTTTTTTCTCTATTGTTTAGGTGAAGTGGTACCGGTAGTACATTATGGCTATGGTAGATGTGTAAATGGCTATAGAATACTGTAAATTTACAAAAGCAAATTTTATCAAACTGTGTCCTCCCTTATTGCAAACGCAAAGCTTGAGTATAACTGCAATTAGCATTTCATACTTATATTCCAACCCCGTACGAAGGACGGGTACTCTGCTAGTACCAAATATGTACATGCCAATAAATAATGTAAAAAATATGTCTGATATGGTATATAGTGTGACATTTAACAGCTGTTGTGTATTAATTATTAGTATTGTTGGTTATGGTTTGTGTTTACATTAGTTGAATTTCTTGAAAATAAAATGGACTTTATTAGAAAACTATTTTGTGTGATACAACTTTATTACTGGTGGCAGCGGTCAAAATATTAAGGTAAAATAAAACCATACAGCTATTATTTCATCCTAGAACAACACATTGAAAGCCCCACCACCTATAGATTTGAACAAGAACACTTTTGATGAATGGGCTAGATTCAAGCAAAAGTTCTTTTTGTATTTAGAAGCTACTGAGAAATCTAAAAAGCCCGGTCCTTTGTTTAATGGGGAATGATTGTTTGGACATTTTTAATAACTTCAAACTAGAAGATACAGATAGGGATAATTTAGATAATGTTGTTCAATCTTTTGATGACTACTTTAAGCCAAAAGTCAACACTGCTGTAAACAGATATGCGTTTTTTTCAATATGAGACAAAGACCAGAGGAGCCAATTGACACATTTGTAACCCACCTGAAAACTCAGGCAAGAAAATGTCAGTTCGGTGAACAAGAGGATAGTTTAGTTAGGGATTTGCTTATTATTGGAACCAAAGATGTGATGACTAAAGAAAGGCTGCTAATGGAATCTGATTTAAAGCTTGATACAGCTATTCACTATTGTAAGGCTAGGGAAGAGAGTGTAAAAACAAGTTAAAAACATGGGAGAAAGTTGTTCTGATCAAAACCATCACGATCATCCTAGTCCTGAAATTCATAAGATAGCTAAGAATAATGATTTCAGGCCAGCTAAAAATGAAATTAAGAAGACCTGTTTTAGGTGTAAGACTAGCCATAGTTATAGAAACTGTCCAGCTTGGGGGAAAAGGTGTACCAACTGTAACAAATTAAACCACTTTTCAAAAGCTTGCAAAGAAGCAAGGTTAAATTCTGTAGAATATGAAGACAATTTTAAAGCCTCTGAAGGAAATTTGATTAGTAGCCTATAGAAAAAATTGTTAGTGTAGATTCTGTGAATTCTTGGACTCAAAAGCTTATTGTAAATGGAATAGAAATTTCTTTCAAACTTGACACTGGTGCAGATGTAAATGTTATTCCTTACAACATTTTTTGGAAAATCTCAACTGATTCAAACATGAATCTAGGCCTATACCCTAGTTCGGCCGCTTAGAAAACAACCTCCTCCAGCATTGGTTTAGCATTAGCGCACAGGTCGTTTTCTAAGCGGCCGAGCTATAGTAGAACTTTTCTTTGAGAGTGATCGATAAAAACAATAGCCTACAGTGGTGATCTGGACCATAGACAAATGGAATAAATATAGACCGTCAGCTGTGCTGCGGTTAGCATAAGTTCTGGAGTCCACCACTAGGCCTAGGTTTGCCGTGTAGTTATGGCACACACCGCTGCAGCGTCTGCTGGTCACATACGGCTCCTGCGCTCCTTGCCTGCAGCGGTGTGCGCCGTAACTACATGGCACACCTAGCGATGGGCGCCGGAACTCCTTTGAGTCTATATAATTTATTCTATTTGTCTATGACTGGACGTAAACTTAGTTTTGCATTTATTTAGGCCTAACCTCACGATATTTTTAAGGCAAAATCTTCTGTGGCCGTAATCTATGAATTTATATAGGTTAGGCCTATATAAAAGTACCTAGACTAGGCCTAGCCTATGAGTTACATTCTCAACTGAGTAGACTTCACTTAGGATACTACCTAAATACAGTTTAGGCTAGATAGGTAATTTTAAAACATATGGCATTTTAATCAATCCTTACAAATATTGCAATACATCAACTGTACGGTAGTAGGAAGAAATTGAATAAATTGCAAGCCCGTAGGTTTAGTATCTATTTTATAGCTTAGCTTAATGTAATGGAAAAAATGAAAACCCTAGCCTATGATGGAAACAAACCAAAACAATGGTGTTATCAACTCACTTTCGAACGCCTGAAGAAATAACTCATGATCAGCTTGCACGAGGTCTGCCCTGGAATTTTTAGAGGAATCGCTTTCCTTATCACGCCTTTTAGGAGGCATTATGATATAAATATTCGTCACACAACAACCGAGAAAACCTTTCACAAGAAACTACGAAAGCCGACAACCGACACAAGAGGACACAACAAATTGTCGCCACTTCACTTCACTTCTTGCTTGCTTGCTTTTTTTCTGGGGGAGCGGTGCTGACCAACTGAAACCCGCGAATCACTCTACGGTAAGACAGTCCATGGAGAAACACTTGATAATAAAGGCAAATAAAATAACCATTGCGATCCAAAAGCTATACAGTTGCAATTTTCTGATTAGGATTTTATACCGCAATGATCCACTACCCCGGCCACAGCAAACCTGCAACTAAGCGAATTTCCATTCACCTGACTGGATTTCTACTCAAATATTCCCTTAAAATTATCAGATTAATTTCCCTTATTAATTATTAATAGATAGGTAACAGAGTACACAGTACAAAAAACATTAATAACAGAGTATACTTAGGGTTGCTGCTACAGGGAAGGTAATGCGGTGTATTTTTTATGTTAATAGCTTAGTATTAAATAATCAAAATTGTCAAATTTGATTAAAATATCCATAAACAAGCAAACCACACAAGTTGATTTATTTTCCATAAGAATAACATGGGAATTTTTATACATAAATAAAATTATCTCCGTAACCACTAGGCATACAACACTCCAGTATACAAAACTATTTGTTTTAAGCTCAACAAAATGGTTTTGAGAAAATGTCATTTTTTGTTTCAGGGTTGATAATGGGAAAACCTTATATCCCCCATAAAGCCCTGTTCCCATAGTCCGATAACGCTGGTTAGCAAACTCATTCGAATAAACCTAGGTTTACCTTACACGTTTGTAGCAGATTTAATAAAAATTGCATCATTTATGCTTGAGTTATCGTGCTAACGGACATTTGATTACATATATACATTACATATATACCCTTGGCACTATAGCACGGCCGCCTTTAACTACAGGCCGCGGCCTGGTAGAATTGGCAACGTCGCAAGTGGTGTTGTTCAGTGACAGACGTCCTATAAGATAACATGGCAGACAGGTGACATCAGTTCATTAATTCGCACTTTATTGATTTAAATTTAAATTTATGAACATAAATTTATTAAAATATTGAAAATAATACATACAGAATTGAAAACCGAAACAATATAAATTAAAATTTATATCTGTACATTTTTAAGTGGAGTCAAAATTGTCATAGTCCAGTAACCAATCTTTCGTAAAAACACAAATACCATTAGCTGCTTCCAAACAAAAACAGCTGTTACAACACCACTTGCGACGTTGCCAGTTCGAAGGCCGCGGCCTGGAGTTAAAGGCGGAAGGCGGCCGTGACTATAGACTGTGGGGCCACTCACCAAGGGTATATAAAGTTTATGTTGCAAAAGCGAGTGGGGTGCTGGAGGGTGCTTGCTGTGTGGATCTCATCATCTTGCCACTGCAGGCCCTCTATTTAAAAAGCTTGTCAGATTTTGACTGTATAAAATGTCTTGTGACGATTAAATTAAATGAGCATCATGTTTATATTCACAACTCAGATTTGCACACAACTATTCCACTAGAACTTCTGTGGCAATTTACATGTGCCTAGATGCAGGCTTGACAAGGTACTGAAATGTTGCAGGTGTCAGATTTTATACGGTAATAGAATTCAAATTCAGGTAAGACGGCTGCCAAGTAACAGAAAAAATGCCGAAATAGTTAAAAGCTGGCTTCTACAAAACCCATATTCCATAGACAAGTGGGTACAAGGTGGCTGTGGTAGAGGTGGCTGTGGTACAACGGACTCGCTAATATGACACATGTAGGAAGCTTGTTTCTGCACAGCTTAGATAATGCTGCAAGGAATTATATTATTCTTTAACAAAAGATTCGCCCAAAGCCTTATTTCTTAAGAAAGAAAGACTAAAACTTTTTGGAAGCTTAAATCTTATTTTATATTTTTTTCATACGTAAGTTAGCCCAAGTTCCTATGCTCATTTGGCTCCGTGTTTAGCCCGGACGTGTTTGACGCGGACACCCTCAAAATGGTGTTTCACCCGGACGGACGCTTCAGAAATCCCCGCGCCACGGCTGGGTGGGTAATTCGTCGCTTTTCGCCCCCATTATATCGAGTAAGGACGCTCGGTGGCGTTTCCCTCCCAACACAGGGAATTATTACTATCGTAACCAACTGGTGGCCCGTAGCTACAAGTGGTAGAAAATACTGTTTTTTAATTTATTATTAACTAGCTGTAACCCACGGGCTTTGCCCCGTTTAACTTCTTAATTTTCAAGATGATCTCGTTCGCATGGCTCAATCGCGTCTTGACGTCCTGGTTGAAGTTCGTTCGCTACGCTCACTGACCTTTTGGTTGCAAATTAGCTGTTGTCATAAATGTAAAAGATATAATAGTGCTGCAACCTGTTGGTAATCCTTGAAAATTTAATGCTATTGAACATCATAGAACAGAACCAACTTGTTTAATTGAAACAGCTGTTAAGATTCATTAATTCCATTTAAATATGAGTACTCATAAGGTTAACATGGGAAACTCCAGAGCCACTGGGGCGGAGCTCGAGAGTCCGATCACAATAAAAACAGCTTAGTTTTCCTATTTAATGCCTATTTAATCAGTGTACCAAATTTCAGCCTCCTAGGTAAATGGGAAGTAAGAGAATTAGTGATGAGTGAGTGAGTGAGTGAGTCAGTCAGTGAGGGCTTTGCCTTTTATATATTTAGATTCTATTCGGATTTCAAAAACTAAACGTTATTACTACCTGTATTGCAAGCACGGAATCTATAATGTTATAAATTACAATTACAAATATTACTTTTAGCAATAACTTTTAAATATAACAATAAAATAAAGGACATTGAAAGTAAAGCCTTCAAATTTTAGTATTATATTAAATATTGCACATACTTATTAACAATGAACCTGAGCATATTCCATAACAATTAGAGAATGATTACTTAGGTGGCTATTTTAAAATCAAAATTTAAACTTCAATTTTAGTCCTGCCCCATGGATGGTAACAAGACTGTTTCATGATTCTTAGCCTGAATTTTTTTATACTGCTTTACTGCTGTACCGGATTTTTTAAATTATGACACAACTATATATTAATGACGTAAGCCGATTCTTTGCGTCAAAATTGTGGGCAACTGGGAAGTTGTAGAACGACCGGAGAGGGCTCAAATTAAAGGTCTCGATCCCGTAACGGCGGGAAAAATACCGGTAGTGAAATTCCAAAACTTTTTTGATCGTGATTTATCTTTAAGCCAGTATGCAAAATTACATCTGGATTACTCCATTTGCTAGTCAATTCTGCAACATACTGTATACTATAAAACCAGGGTTAAGGGTACCTATATTAATTAAGACTTTTTAGGGTTATAGAATGTTGAAGTAAATTATTTTACTGTGAAACTTTTCAAATTTGTGTATTTTTAACGTTTAACATGAAATAACCACGTTGACTAAATAATTAACGATTCAAGATGGAAAACTTCTGCTTTGTTTATATTTCAAAACACATGTTCTAGATTTATTCTACACCTTCTTTGTAAATTAACTAACATTTTAAATTTTGAGATTTATTGTATATCAATTTTGTATATAATTGTATATAATAGGGCCTATAATTTTTATTTATTATATATATTCAATATTTGGTATGAAGTGAAATAACCTCAACGGCTACTCTTACAAAATAACCTGGGAATAAAGATGAAATAGGTTTGATCAGGAAATAAATTTCTTAACTAAGTGAGTACTATGACAAGTTCCAATGGGCGGAAAACAATATTGTTTGGAGGAGATTTGAAACAGGTACTGTCTTTACGTTCCAAGCAAAAAAGGTTAAAATAATATAGCCTAGCAAGTATGGTATGGTAGTAAATGGAGCATCCATATATAACAGTAAAACCTAGATGTAGTTTCTGTTTCTTTACGTTTTTTAAACAAACCAAAAACAGGGGTGCCCATCCCCCCTAGACTCATGACGCACCCCCCCCCCCCAATTGAGCAACAGCCCCCCAATAAATGAGGTACACAACAAATGAGAAACATTATTCCCCGCCAAGCACTATTTGTAAAACTAAAATAAGTTTTATACATTTTTTTATATTAAAAATTCAAACCTAGTTCAGGGTGTCCACAGAAATTTTTTCATTAATTTCCCTGACTTTCCATGACTAGGCCTATCCATGACCATTAACCATTGATTTCGATGACTCACAAACTTTACTCGAAAATTATAATATACCGTAAACACACGAATAATACTGCCTAGACAGAAAATACTGAAATATGTATTAACAGATAACAATGGCGTACAACAGGTACAACAATGAACAAAATACAAACTCAAAACCCATCAACTAAACCAACTGAATAAATTGAATTGTCTTATATTTGTGAAAAATTCGGAAAAATGCTACAATAGTCGGGGTTACGGCCGACTAGATCGTTGAAAGGACCCCTGAAATCCATCCATCATTGGGGATTTCCATATGTCTTTCCATGACTTTTTGCCTATTTCCATAACTTTCAATGACCAGAATTTTTTTCCATGACTATCCCTGACTTTCCAGAATGTGGACACCCTGTAGTTAATCTATATAAATAGTTTTGTCTATACATTGCTCAGAATTATACATGTTTTGGTTTATTTTTACGTTTTATACATTGAAGAAGTTGAAACATGTCTTATCTCAATTTATGTCCGTCTGTCACGGCCCAGAATGCGTTTTACGCAGCCTACTCTAAAGAAAACTAGAGTACCGATTATGATTCTAATGGTTTAATTGTATTCACAGGAGTGTCATCCTTAGCCATTAAAACATGGCCTCACTATTTTGGAAATCAAATAACGGACGATTAAAAACCCAATTTTGTGTCATTTTCTAGGTTTTTTCTCCATGTTAGTAAACATACGTTAACACACGTCATTTATGAAATATTAATAATCTGTTAAGAGAACACGTCATATATGAAATTACGAACAGCTATTTTGATAACGATTCATTTTTCTAGCTGTCACTGATATGTTTACAAAAATAAACGTTGTTTACGAATTTACGAATAATACTGTTTAGGCCCTAGC